ATTTTTCTACAATTTATTTTTAGATATGTAAATTAACCAACGAATACTATCATCTTATTCCAATGCAAGGTTTTGTTAATGAAAAAATCCAAATTATTGATGATAAAAAGAAGTTACGGAAACATTTACAACAACTATCTGATCTATTAGATTTAGAAGTAGCCAGTAAAGTTATTCTTGGTGCCCAGCATAGAGTTAAAGGTAAGATTGTTCATACCTGAACCATTATCATGTTGTCAAAATGAAATATCTTAGGTCAGCATCTGTGAAGGATTTTTTTCAAAGAAGTTTCAGTGAACAAAAAATTCAGTTCACCAAATTAAAGAAAGCACAAAAATGGAAAGGTATGCTTCACTGCATACACTTCCCAAAAGTTCCCGAAATGAATTCAATGGTCACTTACATCTCTGGGTATGTCACAGTAAAGGCAAAGGGTATATTGATAGAAAAAATAGGGCTAATGTATATATAAATATTTCAGAAATCAACCCATATGATTATATATATAAAGCATTAAACTGTAAAATACAACCAATGTTAGAAGACACAATAGAAACACAATATTTACTCTCTTACATACGTTCATCAGGTAGGTTTGTTCTTGTCTTGATTTACACATTCTCCCTTAACATCTCCAGTGGTCTAGAGTTGCTAAGCTGGTGAAATGCTAACAGTTTTGTGTTGACTTGCTTCATTTAATCTGTAGTCTGTTAGAAACAGTAGTAGTGTCTCACGAAATAAGAATTTCCTTGTCACATGCATTATTTAATTCTTTGACTTAAATAGACATGAAAACTGGATACTACCAGTTATACTTTGTGTGCGTTACCTTTCATATAATCTTTATGTCTATATGATTACAGCATCTGATGTCAAACCTCATTGTATATATAAATTATCAAGACCAGGAGAAGAAGATGCATTAAAACGTAAAAACTTATCCAATCATCGGTTATTATTCCATGGCAGTAGTATGAACAACTTTATCAGTATATTGAATCGTGGTTTATTAGTAGCACCAGTTGATGTACCCATTACTGGACATTTATTTGGTGAGGTAAGTAATGATGATATATCTTTATGAATTTGTGTTCTGAATCATTGATTTCCTTCTGACAGGCTTTTATACATTTTAGAGAAATAAACATTAAAGTGCCCCCCTTTTACAAGATTTAATGTGTTAAATGGTTAAAAATGATTGATCTACTACTAATATTGTACAGATATTTCTGTATATTTTTAGCCCCAGATTTGTTGATTTTAATTATGATTTGTATTGTAGGGTCTATATACAGCTGATTGTTTTCAGAAGAGTAGAGGTTATTCTCGTAATTATAGTTCTAAATCCAGAATCAACTTAATGTTAGTTTGTGAGGTAATGTATTTGCTTTACCAGAGTTTAATTCTCAATTTTAGATGATAGAAAGATTTTTTTTTACATACATCACATCCACACCAATTTTTATGTCAATTAAGGGAATGATGACATAGTTGGTCATATTTCCTTGTCAAAATCTCTTGTTACATGAAAAATTCAACATGAAATCAGAAATGAACTGTGAAGGTCAGATGTTATTCAGAATGTATTATTGATTAACTACACTGTTTTATATCAATTATCATATGATATGATATATTTGTTTTATGTTATATTCAGGTTGCTCTAGGTAAATGTAAAGAATCCTATGGTTTAGATGAAGATGATTTAATGGATCCAGAATATAACAGTTTAAAAATCATGGGTCGTATTGAACCTGAACCAGAGTTTAATGTTGAATTACCTTATGGTGAGTAGAAAATCATTGGTTATCTTACATTTTTTGAACACGATATAAGGAAAGATTAATTGATAGTCAGATACATCTTTATTCTTTGGCTTCCAGAGAATGTTATGCCAGTCTTCAATTGATTTTTCAATTCTACATCCCTTTCTGAACATCATAAAACTAGTAATGTTTATTTGGTGTATTGATTCAACCAAACACTATCTAATTATTGTTTTAATACATTTCAGGTGCAACCATACCATTAGGAATATCTACTGAAATACCTTCTAGCTACTATAACAAACAGATCAGAAGACCATATTTGAATTATAATGAATTTATCATTCACGATTCGTCACAACTCTGCTTACGTTATCTCATTATGTACACACCTTAATCATGACGTCATTATCAGTATATATCAGCTCAATGTGTCAATATCCATTTATATCACTAATGTCAGATATCAGAAAACTTTTTGTTATGAAAACCTTTTTTCTATATTGTTCTGTGTAAATTTTCTGTTTTCTTGAATTGCATTTATATAATAAATCATAGGCATTCTGTTATACTGTATTTTTAAAATACAACTTATAAACCAGGCACACATGTGTCATAAAATCTTAGTATGAATTTTGCATACACATCTTCAGGCTTATCATAAATTTTGATTTGAGAATTTATACGGGACTTGAAAATTGTTCCGATGAATGGCAAGCCTCTGCACATGTAATATAAATTGAGATTCTCAGTGCTTATTTTTTATGTAGAAATCCATTTGGATGGAAACCTTATAAAGCATTATGCTTTATTTATATAAACCTTTACAAATACTGCTATTGATGTATATTCAGAACAGATGTCTTTTTCTACAATTTTTGTGTTCTTTTGTTTTTGTTGGCACTGGTTGTTTAAATTTTACAATTGTTTCTATATTTATTAGGCAAAAAAAGTCCAGCATTTATCGATTATATGGACATTAGCGGAATCAAATATTTTAGAAATAGATTCAAATATTTGCTTTCTTTTTTTTATAAATGTTTTATTATATTATTCTGTTATGTTTTAACGCTTGTGAAACTTTATTAATTTTTTGTATTTTGCTTATCGCACATGGTATTTGATTACTGAAAAAAGATGAGTTTCTTAATGCAGTCGTAAATGAATTTAAACAGGTGCTTCTGTTAAATATAACAATACAATTGGTGAGATAAACTACATTCCGTTTAAAGGGAACAGAATCTATTTTCAACGAAAAAAAGAAAAGTAAATTAAGTCATATATTTTAAAATTTAAAGTTGGTGTTGTGACATGTTAATGAATGACTAAGAATTATTTGTTGTTAAGTATATATAGTGGTTTTGTTGTGAATTCTCAATTTATTGTGCTGCCATTATACGTCACTATTCAAAGCAGCTGAACACCTTAATATTCATAATAGTCAGATTTATATTTATATTGGAAGATTAATGTAATTATTTCATTACAATTAAGAGAAAAAAACTCTGATATCCTTATTACTTAACACTTTGATGATCTCAATCTTGGAAAAATTGAATAGATATATTGATATGTGCAACATCCTGTCATTTAAGATAAATACATTTTACACTCCGTCAGATATATGTGTGTATTTTCACTGTATATGAAGCTTGAATATATTGTATCTGTTTGTATTTTATCTATATAATATAGTAGAGAAGATCATATTCTGTAGTAGAAAATATTAGCTTAGAGTCAAATAAAAGTAGTTCAACTCAAAATGTTATCTCATTAAAATAACTCCAATGACGGATGAAGTGCAACAGCTGGATTGAAAACCTGCTGGGTTCTGATTTAAAGAAGAATTTGCATAAATGATTTGGTAGATGACCTACAATTTGCCTGTAATTAAAGAATCTTTTCTTTGGAAATGGCTGTGCAAAATCATTACAAACATAATGAAAGCATCACATTCTGCCTTCTTGGTTTTTAGTATCTAAAATATCAAAACTCCTAATATTTTATTACTATAATGTGTAATAAGCTTCCGTTGTTGGTAAAGATAAACACGCGAGGCTAATTAATGGTTGATTCAAGAGCATCCATGCCTGGTCGTAGGCCCTAGAGCATTTCGATCTCTGGATGAAGTTATTTGTTGTCTGAAAGGTTTTCTGATTATCTCTCTTTATTAGTTCTTCAAAGAAGAAGTTAAAATAATCCGTCGAATTTCGACAGGTAAAAATATTCCTGTCATTTATCTCCAAAAACTATTTGATTTGTGGCTGTCTTTGATGCCCAATTTATGTTTAAATGATCCCCACAGAACTTGTTTTGCTGATGCAAAGGCTAAGCCTAAGGCTAAGAACAAAATGCGCCATACATAAAATCCCCACCCCCATCTCATTCTGGAATCGCATTTCAACAAATATTATATGCTTGGATTGAAATGTCAACTCAAAAAAATTTTGTAGGCTACTGTGAATATCACCATGCCATAATTGAAGAATTTTTATTATTCTGTGGTGTGGCTACCTTGTGGGATGGCAGGCTACTCTCAACGCAGCAGATATTGAGTGAAATTAAAATAAATGCATATGACCTGTTTTAAATTGGCTAAATTTTTGTTTCAATTTATTAATATTTATGTATCTCAAATTTCTTAATCCTTGACACTGACAGAATTTATTATACTTACCACTTGCAGTGACATTGGTTTTATCAGTATCATTGTTTTAGTGTGGTTTGAATTGACTTAATATTTGCGCAGTGGATATTTAGCCGTGAACCAGTTTAGTTTCTTTTTCGCTATTTTACCGGTACTTCCATTTACCCATGTGCAGTGGAGAAAAATGAAAAAAATTCGGTAATATTATCCGTCGATGAGGCCATAAAGCGCCAAATGAGACCATAAAACAAAACCTAAAACTAACCCAAAAGAAGACCCTGAAGACAGCTGGACCTTGTTCAACATATTTCAACATATGGACATCCCTACCTAACCCTAAAGAAGTCACTAAATCGCATATTTAACACTAGATTGTTTGTTTTGATTTTTATTATGCGCATGGGTAAACGGAAGTGCCAGTAAAATAGCGAAAAAGAAACTAAACTGGTTCACGGCTAAATATCCACTTTGTAATATTTGAGGCTGGTCTCTATTTGAGGCTAGTTTTACTCAATCATATGATTTTTATTTCAGAGGAAATGGATATTTTATAAAGTGGCTGGGCCATAGTTTAGTTATACATCAGAATGTATGCTGAATGGGCCTCACTACAAGATGAAATACATTATGATAAAGGGAATCAGTCAGTATTACATAAATTTCCTGATACTGTAGGGCGAGATGTGGCTTGTACAGTTGTTAAACCAATAGCTCAGAATCTGAGTATATCTGCCAGTAATGGAGATCCAAGTACATTGGATGGAGATAAAGATGTTAAATGGACTATGGAAGTAAGTCATGGTTTCAATTTTATAGTACTGTTTAACGCTAAGCAAAGAAGGTGAAATGATATGTTACTGCTATACAATCACAGTGAAATTTGTAGGTACATCATGTTATTTTTTGATGATATAAATGCTACCTATGAAATGTATTTGGAATTTTTCACTAAAACTAATTTTTTGTCATATGTTTGTCATTTCCATAGGTGCTATGTTATGGTCTGGGATTACCGTTAGGAGAGCTCAACACCATAAAAGATTGTGTAAATATATATTGTGAATGGTTAACAGCATTAGTAACACCTAAACCATGTGTTCCTCGGTCAATAGTGGATGATCCTAATCCTTATGCTCAAGTTATATTACATCATTTATTGAATCTATTTAAACCACGTTCGGGTGCAGGTAATTTTTTCATTGTAATAATATAGATGATGTTACTGTGATAAATTGTCATAATAGTTGGATACCGGTATTTCTTTACTTTACAGATATTGCTTATCATATCTTTTATTCCCAATATGGGACCAATATTTTTTTTTGATTATTATATCTGAACATGAGTTTCCAGCATTAGATGAAGTCAGTGATACAAATTTTCTGTGGTAACAAATTAAAATGAATTGATTAGTGGAAGTATGTATATTGTTCAGTAATATTTTTCTTTCTAGGTGTTGATCCAGTAAATAAACAAGCTATGTTATGTCATAGAGTTTTACGTACAATAGAAACTGTAGCTAAAGAATCCAGTATATTATCTCGTGATACCTGGACAGTTTTACTCAAATTTCTATTAGCAGCTAATGATAGTTTACTTTCTCCACCAACAGAAAAAGGTAGCATAGAATTATTTTTCTTATTTCATATTGACGATCAAATTGTATTATGACTATGAAGTCAATCGTAAGGCCATCTTCACAATGTCAAGCTATTACAAACTTTGTCTTATACCTGGAATGCTATAGTCCCCTTTCTTGTATCACAGAATGTAGTTGATTGGTTTGTTCGTCAAGCAATCAGGGCTGGCTGTATACATTAATGACTAATTGTTTACAAACTTTTTATTTACTATTCTACAATCCAATTCAGATTGCTACTTTTACAAATAAAAAAGGTGGCTATTGCAGGTACCTTTTGTAAGGTATAAGAGGAAGTTCGTAATATCTTGACATTGTAAGGCCTATCTTTAGAAATGTCTGAATCATTTGTGTCTAAATTTGATACTAAACTTGAATGTAGGCGTGTTTTATTGTGTGGATAGTTCTTAATGTTTTAGTTTCAGTATTTGTGTGAGTAGTAAGAAATGTCAAAGCTAATTCTATATTTTTAGAGCAGAATTAAAGATGAATGAGTTTTTGAGTTTCCTTTTTCATATGGGATACAGCTATCATGAAATAACTTTAATATATCGTGATCTTTAATATCATGAGTTGAAGGGAAGTTCCACAATATCTGTGCTCCAAAGAAAAATAGTTACTTATTAGAATTAAAAAAGGCTCAGAATTATGCTTGACATTTGACATAGACCCTATATTGAACCAGGGTATTTATTATCTTACTAACAATAATAATAGCATGAATTTTCTGTATTTTTCTAACAGACGATACTGGATTAAGTTCATGTAAGTTTCTTGTGTCCAAAATTTTTTCACTTGGTTTGTGTTGTAATGCTAATGGCTTCACAATATTTTTGATTTTTTCCACTTAATATCTTATTTATCACAAACATCTATTACAAGCTATTACTTTGAGAGCGAGTGTTATACATTTGTATGAGAATCTTCAATCAGAGTTTTTCACGTCACATTATTGGAATCTTGAGGGGCCTACCATTCACAGAGCTATTCACTTTAAATACACTGAATTTAGAACAAATCATTTTAGTACCTTATTGATTTTAATCATCATTGTTGTGGCTTTGATTAGTTTTCTTGTGGCTGTTGTATACTTTTGATATAGTCTGCTATATTATATGCTAGACTGTATGTTATAATGTGTGTAAATCATCAACATTATTATTATTGCTAATGTTCTTTCATTAATGTTCATATAATGCTTATTTATAAATATATATCCCAACTGAAAATAGAAAAATTTTGTTAAATTATAAATCACTTATGATATTGATATTGAACCTATATCAATATTAGTATGGCAATACATATTTGTTTTGTTATGTTAAAAATAGGCTCTGTCAAATGCTGAGATACAGCATGATGATTCAAATAATTTATCATAATACCCTGTCAATCAACATATTGAAAACATATATTAATATTTAAACAATATATTTATATTTTAAACATATTTTTATAAGGTTTAATATCAAAATATTGTAAAAATAAATTTATATTTATGCCACAAACATGTATTCATATATACCAAATTTTGATATTTAAAGAGATTTTGATATTTGTTGATGATCAACATTCAAAAGAATTATAAAGATTTGAAATTATTTTGCATGTGTAAAAAGTAGGTTATTGGAGGTTATTGTTGTTTTTGTTGTAGAATAGCTAATAGTGGGAATCAGGTTATTGGAGGTTATTGTTGTTTTTGTTGTAGAATAGCTAATAGTGGGAATCATATTGGAGATCATTTGGGTGTTTTATGTTTTAGACATTCATGGAAATATCTTTTTTTAAGTGATAGGGTTGTAGATTGATCCTTTAACAAATTTTGTACAATATTTTTTTGTGGAGAAACTTATGTAGATTTTAGATACATATAGTCACCAGGCATTCAACTGCAAGGTGTAAATGATCAATTTGAAGTATAAAGAGTAAAATTGTTATTATCTGAGAATCATAAAATCACTGAGAATTGCACAGCACGTTTTGATTGTTTTCCATCACATCACATTACATTACAGTTGAAAGTAGATGTTTTAAGGTAAAAACCTAAGAATTTAGTAGATATCACTTCTGCTTTATAGATATTTGTTTATAAGAAAACTTTGTTTTATGCTTTGAAATATCTGAATATCTTTCATTGACTATAAACATAAACAGAACAGTTTGAAATATTTAAATTATTATTTCAGATGATATTGGTGATAATCTATGTGAAAGAGTATTGTCAGTGTTATTTGGTATATGGCTAGTTGCCTGTACTAAATGTTTCCCTTCACCTTCATTATGGAAAACATTTAGAAATATGTCACAGTCTTGGAGACATCATGAAGGACTTGTCCTACAGTGGCATAAAGTCAATTTTGCTCTTACATCCCGACTGTTGAGAATTATGCATGGTCCAGATTATCCAGAACTAGTAATAAGTGAGTATACAAATACTATTTAACCTTGTTTCTTTACAGTCTAATATATGACTTGATAAAAAAAACTCTCTGAAGCATGAATAACTTTGTCATTATGATTGATAATAATAATGATAAAGCTAAGATTCAGATTCAAAATTTGCCTACATTCTTTATTTATACACACATCTTTGATACCTGTCTGTATTGTGATAGATTTACATTCTTAGAATTGCATTTCAGTTGAGAATGATGATGTACAAATTATACCAGAAGGTATGACCAATGAATGTATAGCACAGACATGGTTTAGATTTCTTCACATTATACAGAACCCTGTTGACTTGTGTCACCCTGAAATTATCAGTCAGACTCAGTTATTTCTACAATATGCGCTAAATAATGAAGCTGTAGTGGAACCAAGTCACCATGAATGTCTCCAGAAGTTACCCTCAATATTTCATAAAGCTATGAAAGGTGTATCAGTCATGGTGAACTCTTTTCTTGGTATGTGGCTTAAGATATTCAAATCAGGGTCAATGAATTTTATTATGATAAATACAATTCTGATAATTATAATCAAATAGTAGGGTCAGAGTAAGATTGGACCATGCATAGTAATGGCCAAGTCCCAAATAAATCTCAAAGCTAGAGAATATGTTCTTTTATTAGTTTCATTCAAAGAAAATTTTAATTGATATCTAGGTTTATATATGCAATCTGATTTGAATACTTGAGCAATATAATAAGAAAATAAATCAAATCAATATTTTGACAGGAGTACCACAGACAGTGAAATCTGAAAGTAGAACATCTGGAAGTCAATCTGCAGGTGGTAAATTAGCTACACCTTCAACTCCTCCTGGTCAACGTAAACCTGGTGGTAATCCAATAGCTGTTCTTGCTGGTTCCTTGGCTCAAAGAGGTAAGATATGTTTAGTTTCTGAATATTTCAACTCGATATCTTCTCAACATTATAGGAATGGCTCAAACTGGTGTTGGTATCTGTTAACCAGTTGCAAAATTTTGAAATATTTTTCGCTATTCAAACCAATGAATAACTTCATTTAGGAGAAAAATGTAATGTGCGGTTCATTTGTTTCAGCATCCAAGGAAGCTAAAGCAGCAGCTCTGAAGTCAGTAGTAGTTGTACCAATTGAAGAAACAGCAGTGTTATCATTAGATGCTAGATGTGCTTTTGCTCCCACTAGACCCCATTGTAACAGTATACTACATTTATTCAGTGCTTGGTTATTTGATGCAGCATTGGCTGGTGTCAAGTTATATGGCTGTCATGCTGCACCAGGTACAAAATGAATTTTTCGCAAATTTACCTTCTTGATGATTAAACTATCTAGTTTGATTTGAAACTGTGTCTGTATGAACAGTCACCAATATTCAGCATGATCCTTCAATCAACATCTACCCATACAGTTTTCCTCTGTTCCATAGCAACCTTTTGGAATACTATTATCATCTCTTTCTATTAATTGGTCCAAATGTCGATATTTGTCTAGTGTTTCATTTACATTTTCCATATTATTTTTGATATTCCAGTAAAAGCCCAACGAAGAACAAGTTCTTTCATAGAATCTAAACATAGTTCAGTGTCAGTAGAGCAGACAGCAGCTGAGCCTGTTATAATCTATGATAATACGTATGAAACAGGTCGAGCTGAAGCTTGTGGTACATTGTGTAGGATATTCTCAGCTCATAAAACTGGTGAAGATATACAAACTGTATATTACTCTAGATTCTATATCATCATGTTTTATGGCTTACAGACAGAGGAGGTAAATATTGTGTAATAATAATATAAGATGTGTGCTTTTCTGAAGACAAACTCAATTTATTTTGCCTTCAACTGATAATTCATGTCCTGTTAAAACTCTTTATTTATGGGTTTAATGAGATACTGATAGCACAAATTTTGGTTCATGCATTTCTACTGAAACATGAGTGTTTTATGATGTCACTATCTCAAAGACCCTTACATTAGCAGCCTTAGCAAGAATCACCTAAAGTTGATGCTGTCAGCATCACACAAGGAAACCACCTAAAATTCATTTAACAGTAAACTGTTTTCAATTCTTCTTTGTTGTGGTATACCTACATACATATCTGTATATTTCTTTTGTAGAATACTATTAGTGGAGAAGTGCTATCTAATTTATTATTTAATTCTTGTGATTTATTACGTGTGGATCTAGCTGGTATACAGATATTGGTGCCTTATTTCTTAAATGCTTTGGAATTAATTCTGACTTCTAATACACCACACTTCAGGTAGTATTATAATATAAACAGGAATGCCAAAATATTCTCAAGTATTCATAAATACTGCCACAAGGTACTTTGCAGACACTTAATTTTCAGTTTGCTTTAGTTTTATTTTATTCAGCAATAAGAAAATAGATGCAACCGTTCTTTGCTTTCCAAAGACTTTCCTAACATATGTCAAAGCTTTTTTGGCTAGGATCCTTTACAGAGCTGGGTTGACTGGTATAATAAGAGAGATGTATTTTGATGGTCACAACCACCATCTATATTAAACTATGCAAATGACATCAGATTCCAATTCTCTTTTCAAATGAACAATATTGGTGACCTTTTTGTTTATTTTCTGTTTAAATTTATAGATTATGTGACCAAATACCGTACGTTGAACTAAGGAAAGCCTGTGTACATCTTCTACTGTCTATGTTATGTCTACCTTTACATTTTAAAGATCTAGAGATTAAAGGTACTGCATTTTATTCATTAGATTTATTCAACCTAAGCATTTTCCTTCCGCATTTGAAAGCAAAATTGGATGAAAATATTCTAAAGTTTTTTGTTGAAATATCATCTACTTTTACTGGATGTTGAAGTATATGTACATCTTCTTTTGTGTATATTATATCTACCTTTACATTCTAAATATATGGAATTATTTTATCAAACTGTATTGAAATCAAGCATAAATATTACAAGCTAGTAGTTTCACATGGAAAATTAATCTACTTTTTATAAAAATGGCTATGTATGAAGTGTTTATAGGAAAAGTTTGTCTAGTAGTTTGTAGTTTTTATAATCTCATGATGCAGTATTTAAAATATGAGTTCTGATTACAGATATAATGTCTAATCCTGACAGTGAAGAAGAACAAAGATCTATTTCATTTATATCATTGAAAGTTAGAATTATAGATCTTCTACAGAAAGCATTGTTTTTAGAGACAGATTCTACCAATACACAGATGTTGTTAGGTTTGTAATCAAGGGTCTGACAATCATAAGTTGAATATTTTAGTATAAACTCTTTTAGACGCTATATGATGCTGAAACCTATTTAAGTCTGTTTCTGTATTATACTGAAATATCAACCAAAAGGACATAATAATATGCAACCTTACCTTCTGGCATCTATCACTATTACACTATATTTTCACCAGCAATGACTTTTGTTGCTGTAATGAAGGTACTCTATGCAAAAAATCATGCAATGTTACGATTATGAATAACTGTTTTTAGGTGGATTAATGTTGGTTGTTCAAGATCTAGCTACAAGTGAACAGGCTGAACAGATCACCTTACAACCACAACAAGATATATCTGATACTGATGTCCATGCTGGTATGTATCTTTACTGTCTGTTATAATACAACCTTTCCCTTTCATTACAGACACAACAAATAGTAGGTGATATATATGGCTGGTGGTTGGGTTGTTACCATGTAATGTCACATTATGTCATGCGTTTTATGTCATATTACTTTAGTTATAGGTATATGAAGGAATAAGCATTTTGTGAAAAAATAGTTTGTATGGTTATGATTCATCAGGAATGATTGATTTGGAACAATCCTCCAATCAATACTAGTGGTTGCTCTTCTTAGTAGATGATTGAATGATATTTTACTTGAGCAACCTGCAATTTAGCTGGTGTCATGTGACTTCACATAACATTAACATCATACACTTTAAGTTATATAACTTGGGAGTTTGCGGTATATGATGTTTTCTGACACTCTTCCTGAAGCTTAAAATAATATATTTATAGATATGAGTGGTACAAGTGTTAATACATCCTCTACAGATTCAAGTTATCAAGATACATCATATCATAGATTACATCATCATCCTAAAGATCAGGGTATAAACTTTTATATATATTTTTTAAGCTTCTAACAAGAGATAGATTTACCACCAATTCATGCTCTATTGAAAATGTATCATTAGAAGACCATTGCCTACAGATATATTTCAGAATGAATAAACTTAAATATGTATTTGGCTGATCAGTAGTTAAAGTTAAAGTTGATCATTGTCATGTGGAGAAATAGAATAAACATAGGGTAGACTGTTGAACTACAATATCAGTTTTTGGGAATTTCTCTTGCCTTTCCTTGAGGTATGATTTTGAATTTCAGATACTGCCTATGGTTTATTTGGTCAAGCAACATCATTAGTTTGTAATAGATTGATGTCATCATGGATCTCAGATTTAAATACTGCTTTAGCTGCTATAGAATTATTGGCAGGGCTAGCTAAAGTCTCCATTAAACCACCTAACTTATTGATGTGTAAACGTACAGTGAAATGGATCTGTGATTTTATAGCTAATCAATGTAATCGCCATGCTCAACATCATACCAGAGATCTCCACTCTGTTATTGTGGCCACGTTTAAATGTTTACAGTTGTGGCTAGTTGAACATAGCTGTTTACTGTATGATAAAGATTGTTTACATATTGTATTGGAGGTGGTTGAACTGGGAATATCAGGCTCTAAATCTCAGGTATGTAACTAGTTTTCTCAACAGCGGTTATAGCTTTGGTTGTATTTTTCCACTGCTCAAAATATCCAGACACTAAATGCTTTTAAATTTCCCTTGATCTGAGACATTTGATACATTGCTTATTTCTGCATACAATCTGTTATATGAGACAATTCCAATTTCATACACTATTTACATGTAATAGTCTCCAAGGAATTGTAAACAAATTCTGTGGCACATTAATGTGAATTGATTCATAGCTTTTGAACCATTCCCAATTATACTGCAGCGAGGCTGCAAATTCTCAAATATTTAGAGCCAGAAATGAAATTTGTAAATTACTAGGTATTGATAATCTGCGTATCATACTGCAATTATACAGTAATGATTTTAGACTCTAACTGATCTTTTTCATAATGCTGATCATGTTGCTGACATCTTGATCCAGTTTTTGCAGGGAGAAATTTGCTCATTGCTGCATCAATTTGATTTGTAATTTTCTGCCAATTTATTGCGTATGATTCAAGGCTTTCAGTTAATGATATAGAGCCACAGCTATTTTCTTGACAATTTGCTGAAAACATTGTCAGCATATTTATAGCTTATTTTTTTTTAAATTTTGACTTCCAAAATCAAAAGTGTTTTTTTTATTAATTATGCACTGAATATTTTATGCTTTCATCTTTTGAGTTTATGATTTTTGCTCAATGTGGTATGATAGCATAGACAAATTCACTTTTATTTTAAAGATATTGTTTGTTTTATGTTTTTTTTAAGCTTATACGTATTCGATATATTTACTTACTATTGAAGGTGTGTGGCTCAGGATTTGATTTTTTTAGGCTGAATTTATAACTGCTGATTTCACTAAATAATAACTCAATTACAAACAATACATCTCACCTCTTGCTTTTATTTCTGACCAAATATGGTCAAATATTCTTAGAATGGCGTGTCTGAGATTACAACCAATCAGCACACAGTACTTATTTTAAGATTGCTACTGCTTCTTATTTCTAATTGCACACCTATACTAAATAACAGGTTAAAGTAGGAGACAACCACATAATGAAGACTAAATTAGATAAAGAAAGTAAATCTGTTGCCATGGTAACAAAGGTAGATGTATCTCTCAATATGGCTTGGTGTTCTTGTAGTCAACTTGTAGTTCATGCCAGTTCAGCTTTTAGTATCTTGCAATATAAATTATCAACTCACATCTTAGCCTCTTGTCAGCCTAATAAAATGGTTCATCGTTGTTTGATGATTGTGTTGTGTGCCTTTGATATAAAATGTACAAGAAAAATCATCATGAAATGGCAATGAATTATATATATATATGCATTGTTTGTGAAATTTCTAATATGTCAAAAATTTTGCTTTATGAGTTCTTACTAAGCTTAAAAAATTTTTATTGTGCTTGTAAGTTATCAATTCTAACTCACTTTTGATTTTTTTCAATGACAGATATTTGTTCGGCGTTATATAAGATTCCGCAAGGCTCCAAACCAGAAATATATGGGAAATTGTTTTCCCATTTCATTATGGACTTTGTCCTAGTATAAATTGGGTTTGCTATGAAATAGATAATGTTTCTTTGCTTGTTGCTCAATTAGATAATCAGGGACATTTTTTTTCGTAAATAAGGACATAATATTCCACTTGGTAGGGACCCAGCATAAGTTGTCAACCATTTTATTTTGTAAGCCACTGCCCTTTGCCAAATTTAAAAGTTGGAGTATGCTAGGACTAGTAGATAAGACAAAATCCATGACAGAGACTACAAAATTATTATCAGGTTGTATCCAAAGACATGGTCATTTACAAACTCATTGTCAAAGTTCCTTTCTTGTTTAGATCAAAAAAGGGAAATTTTTTGGAATAAGGATTTAGTGTAGTAAAAGATAGTACTAGTGTGTGATCTTGTTGCATGATATTAGTTGTAGTTATGTTGATTAATCCGAAGTCACTGGATATATTTTTAGTGATTTGTAATTTTGTGTTGAATCAGGAAAAGAAATGCATTTGGCTTTTTTTTTAAGTAATCTATTTGTGAAACTAATTGTTTGCTGAACTAAAATAAACATTTGTGTGCATAAACTAGCATTATTTCTGTGTGCTTTAGATCTTGTTTATTTAAATCTTCTATAATAATAATTCAAACTTCATAGCATTTTTATACTTTTATTTTATTTTATAAAAGAATGAATGAATAGGATTAGTGTTTATTAATTTCAATATGATTATATTAATAACCAATTATCAACTTTTAATTTTATTTCTCATTTACGTTGCATGACAAATTTTATTACTTTCAATTTATTAATATGTTACCTTCAACATTGATATGGGTAAAGTTGCTCCAAAATTTACTTTCAGATCATTGTTATTTTTTGGATTTAAAAATTTAAATTTGAAATATTTTAGAATCGTGTAAGTGATCCACCTAAATTCAAGGGAGATAAACAGTTAATGCCAGCCTCTATGAGAGTTAAAGATGCTGCAGAAGCTGTTTTGACATGTATTATAGATCAAGTGGTATGTTCATATTATTCATGTAAAAAAAACTTCATACACTCTGGTTCCTTAAGCCATTGGAATCTCATCATCTATGATAAAACAAACTATTTTCATGCTTAAAATAGTGCTCAACAAGGCTGTTGATTTGACCATATTTGCTCAATACATCAATTTTGAAATACTTGCAATATTGAAATGATCCACATTCTGCCATGGTTTCTGTGATTTTATGATTTTTCAAATTCAATCATCCGATCACTAGCTTGTTTTTCTTTCAATGATGTAAGTCAACAATAATGGTACAGGCACACAAACAGTCTTGGTCGACGGTCTATCTTGCAGACAATGAAAACTATCAGAGACAAATATCATACTTGTTTGATATTATAAATCCTGTTGAAAGCATGGACACGCACAAGATTTACTCAAGATTCGAGTCTGCAACATAAATCGCCGACCATTACCATTTGTGTGCCCGTACCTTAAGATAAAGTTCTGTCAAATGTGAAATCAGTTTACCAAGTCCTGTGTTATTGCATATGTCCTTTCATGTATTTCAGGGAGCGTTTCCACCACCATGTGGACCGGAATCTCTATTTTCATTGTTAGATGAAAGATCATTATTAAAATATGCTAAAGGTTCAGCTTTACCAGAACATGGAACACCATTTCGTTATTATGTTATAGATAATTCTATTATAGTTGGTTTATTAGAGCAACCACTGGGCAATATTGAAGGTATTTTTAAAAGTTTATAAGAGATTTGAGTCTTAACCTTTATATTGTCATCAAACAATCATGGATGAGAATATGAGAACAGAAGACAAACCAGAATGTGATATAACATCACCTACCAAAATTATACTACACAGATGCCTTTATGAAAATTGTATGTTTAGAATTAACAAAAAGGAGCATATTATGATTGAAAAAATGATTGTCAATAATGTTCGAATTATTTTCTTTTATTGCTTAGATCCTTTACCTACTGTAACAGCTTTAATTAGAGGTCCATTTGGTAGACATGCTTGGACAATGCAATTACGTCATGCCCCTAGAGCACAGAAGGTATGTACATTCTCTTAGATTTTAAACTTGGCCAATAACTATATCATAGGATTTGAAGAGCATCAAAATAATGTTCCCTTTGCCAAATTATGAATTTTTCTATTACAGTTTTTAATTTTTTTTTTTTTCATTTTTGGTGTAGATATCATCAAGGGCGCATCTATTTGAACCAAGTCGTCCGGTACCACAAGATAATGTTGGTATAAAACACAATGTTAAACATAGATTCTACCCTGAAAGTGTTGATAAAATACCTACTTGTAAAGCGTAAGTAATCTTATTACCCAAGTTAATTAAATTCATTAGATATAGACCGAAAAAGTTGAAAGCCCTAAAACAGTGATTTTTTGCTTTGAGAGATTCCAACCTTTGTCCAGCAGATGACTGTGTATATTCAGTAAAATCCATATACATGTACATGATTGTGGATGATGGTTTGACATTATTTGTGGCTTGCAATAGTTCAACTGTGGTGACCACACATGAAATGATTTTACAATGCTACTAGTGTGCACACTCAAAACAGAATAGTATGTCTAAACAATGTTGTAATTGACGTGTTTGGTATTTATTGTAGAGATGAAAGTATTCCAACTCTAGAATCTCTAGTAACTGAAAAAGAAAAACCAGAAATTGATCTTATTAAAGGATTTATAGAGAAACAAGTGATATTTGAGAAAGACCTAGCAGAACATTCTCGTAAGGAAAAGGAGAAAACAGCTTATCCTAATCCTGAAACAGAATGTAAACAACCACAGTAAGTATACTATGATGTCGTGTTCTTATCTGACCACACATTAATGTGGTTTTAAATAATAAAACTTTATTAAATAAACCATTTATTTCTGAGTGTCTAAAAACACACTCCCTCAGGGAAAACTCTTGTTTTTATTAGAAATTTACAGACATTGATGTAGGCATAATGTCTTGTCTTGTGTCTTGTGTCTTGTCTTGTCTTGTCTTGTCTTGTCTTGTCTTGTCTTGTCTTGTCTTGTCTTGTCTTGTCTTGCCTTGCCTTGTCTTGTCTTGTCTTGTCTTGTCTTGTCCAAAGTTATTGAAGAAGTCTTTATTTACTTACATATCAGAATTATTTCAGTATACCCTATACTATATTTTTGTTTTTTTAGAATAACCCAGGAATATCAGACTGCCAGATTATTTTTATCTCATTATGGTTTTCTATCTTTAGAGGCTTTAAAGGTCAGTAGAATGGAAATACATTATTAGGCATAGTATGATAAAAACATATATCGGGTGACGTAAAGGAAAAGGAAAGCTGAGTTTATATCAAATGTTTCAGAAGAAAGCCTGCAGTGCCACAGTAATATTGTAGTTGTATGATTTGGACTCAAGAGTTTAGGACTAAAAATTGATACAAGATTTTATTTCAGGGTTAATTTTAACAAAAAGTGCTCAAATTTTAGTATCATATCAATCTTCCAGGAAAGAATCTATATCAAGTCAATTGTAGCTGAAAGCAATTGTATCTGATGCAGCAGCATTAAGTAATAGATTTTCCATATAGAAGAGAATAATGTATGTTTTATTCTACAGGAACCAGCTAACTCTAGTCTACCACCAGATTTAGTGATGTTAGATACAACTAATACAGCTATGTTTACTGATATGGAATCACTAGATAGTATACCTAGTCGAGATAATGATACAGTTCATATATTTTATGTTAAACCTGGTCAAAGAACTCTTTCAGATATAATCAATAATGTTGTAAGTTATATGAGTTTGTATTTTATAATGCTTATGGAAAAATATAAAAAAAATGAAAGAATTGTATATAGTTCCTGTCTTGTCTACCTTCTTGATATTGATCTGTATAATGTTAATGGTAATCTTATAAGACTTTCACTATCTATTTGCTTTCTTTATAGACATCTCATTCAAGAGTTCAGCCCCAGTTTTTAGAGTTTCTCCACTCATTAGGATGGCCTGTAGATGTGAGACGTCATGCTGGTTGGACAGGACATATTTCTACTAGTTGGAAGATAATAGATAGTGATGATGTTGATGGTAATTATAATTTATATCTTGGGTTACCATGAAGCATTTTAAAAAAGTCTTGTCAGATTTTATCTCATATCATTTGTGGCTTACATATTGCTTCTTTTTTAAGCAATTATATTTTCTGTAAGCTATATTCTTTGATAATATTTGATGTTTCTAATTATAGAAGATGATTATCAAACTGGTACAGGAGGTAGTATATATGATGGTAGACAACAAGTTTTATATTGGGCTGATGTTTCATCTGAAGTAGCTTTTATTGTACCATCACCTGATGCCACTCATTTACGACAAAACTCTTGTTCAGATTCTGGTATGGACTTTACTACATATATTTATTTGTTATAGTTTATTATGTGTGTCGTAAAAATAATAGTTATGTACCAAGCAATATGAATATTCATTAGTTTACAATAGTATGAACTGGTTGTGTTGTGTCTGTTAAATAAAATAAAATATTGAAATACAGTTATTTGATGTTTTTTTTATATTTTCTGTACTGAGAAATTGTTGAATTGTTATTAGCTAGTTTGTAGAAACAGAAGTTATATCTTTATATCTTCAGATATAATTTGTGTTATTATTGTATATCTTTGTGTATATGAATTATTCATGTTTTTATAATAACAGAGAAATCACCAACAAGAAGTATTGGAAATGATAAATTTGAATCATTCGTAACTAAACCTAAATCATTAGGATTAGATGCTAGTAAAATAAATCAGGTTAGATCAACTAGAGAGAGTCCCAGTTCCCCTCCAGAAATACCCTCTAACACTGGTAGTCGAGGCAAGAGATATGGTCGACAACTTGGACAAATGGTTGGACCTGATACTAAAATATTTGTTGTCTGGCTGGAGAGTTTTGAAGACCATGAAAATTTTCCTTTAGGTATGTGTCTTTGGATTTCACTGTGCTTTTATGCTCAAATATGCGGGAACTACTTTCAAGATGGCACAGCAGTTACTTCAGTTGTCTTAATACAGTTTGATAATGTGGTAATGATGACCCTTTTGGGCGGTGAGGTCATAGGGTAAATGGTGGTTGACATTTGATCAGGCTTTGGTGTTACCTTCTGCTCCAGACTCCTGTATGTATATCAGTTACCATCCATCCATGCACCGAATATGGTTTATTTTTTTACCTTTCAGGAGATATTCAGACTATCACCAGCACTGGTCAAGAACATCTATCACAGAAACAATCAGAAAAAGATATTTATATTATCTTTATACATGCTTTACAAAATGGTTTATTTAGAATACATATGCAAGGACATGAGAAAAATGTCACAAAGTAAGTAGAACATGATTTATATTCCTTGTGATTCCTTGAATGAGCTAGAATAGGCTTCAATTCAAGGGTAAATGTGTAAAGTTGTCTCCCTTTAGTGTGCCTTAAAAATCAACTGAATTTGATATGATTTAATATGTTAACGATGGGCCTATTTTATGAGGAGTTTTTATGACTTTTTACTGAATAAGATGCTCTATGAATTGGTAACTGATTAGGACAATTGACTGATCTGTGAATTAGAGGTAGAATATGTATGTTTTTTAGAATGACTATGGCTATACCACTAGTAGATGGTATGGTAGTTAGTAGAAGAACACTAGGTACATTAGTTCGTCAGACATCTATTAATATCTGTAGAAGAAAGAGACTGGAGAGTGAAACGTAAGTATTGTTTCTCAAACTAGCTTTCCTATAAAATAACAGGTATTATACCAAGTTTTCCAAATGTTAGAAACAAGTATGATATGTCTATAATGATGATGATGAATTTGTTCTTTTTGATATCAATTTTTTTGAAATTAACAAATTGTTTATACTGGTATAAAAGGCTTGGATAAAAGTCATAAAATATCTTTCCACCTTTGATAAAATGTTTTGTTGTGTGTTTTAGATATCAGCCACCCCATGTAAGAAGAAAACTACAAATACAAGATATCGTCAACAAATATAGATGTAAAATGACAGAGGCAGAGTTTTTTACAGCATTATTTCAGGATGTGCCTAAATGAATACAAATATTCTAATCTTAATTATTTTAAGCAGAACTGATTACTTTTTTTGATCTTAAGTCTGATTTTGTGATGTATCAGATGTAATATATATAGTTCTGTTTTAGAAGTTAAAGCATGGTTTACGATAAAAAAATATTTTGCTGACCATCTTCCCTATAATGGAAATATTAAATTCAGGTTCAGTTTTTGATCCCAAGCATGTCCTAAATGTATTACCATTGGTTAGTGATTTTATTAACGTTCCGTTGTGTGCCAATATATCAATTAGAATTATTTATATAGAATTCTCTATTATTTATATTTATCAAAATCTAGAATTACATTAGTAATTGTTGTTGTATTGTAATTAGAATGTATGTAAATTGTTAACTGATATATAAGAAATCTTATTTGAAGAAGCCCTAAATTTTAGCCTACTGCTACTTTCATTTTTCTATTTTGAACATTTCCCAACCCTTTCTGGTTTGTGGTTCTTGTTTGGCTAGGACAAACTGGTTAATTTATATAAAAAAAAGTATTTTCAAAAATGTAACTCCTGTATTATGACTAATTTGAATTGTTCATTACATACCACATTGACTCATATCACATAATTAACATTATTTATTGTAAATATTTTTATGTGCAATAATAAAACATAAATATATAAAGAATATAAATGGTTTTCTCTCCCTGTTTTTCAATTTAATTTGATTAGAATATTGTGCAAAATAACATGTTAATTTATGCCTTGAATAATGATGTTTTGACGACATGATACTGTATGGACTTAGCTAGATGATGCTTATTATATTATACATGGACTTGCTTCATTACATGAAACTGTATTGACTACATGATACTGTCTGGCTTGAATACATGATATTAGCTTGACTACATGACACTAGTTTATGTACATGATGATTGCTTCACTACATGATACCGTCTTGACTACATTATATTTGGCTTCTCTACATGATACTGTATCGACTTCATGATAATGCCTACTAAATAATACTGGCTTGACCACATAATACTTGCATGACTACATGACACTGACTATATAAGACTATATAATGCTGGTCTGATTTCATGATATTGTCTTGACTACATGAATTTGTCTTGACTACATGATACTGTCTTGACTACATTATCGACTACTGTCTTGACTACATGATACTGGCTTGTCTTCATGATACTGGCTTGTCTATATGATGCTAATTCGTTTGACTACATGTGACTGACTTGACTACATGATACTGTATTCATTATATGATACTTTGACTACATGATACTGGCTTGACTACACAATAAGGTCTTTACCACATGGTACTGGCTTGACTATATGATACTGTCTTGACTATATGATACTGTCTTGACTACATTATCGATTACTGTCTTGACTACATGATACTGGCTTGTCTTCATGATACTGGCTTGACTATATGATGCTAATTCGCATGACTACATGTGACTGACTTGACTACATGATACTGTATTCATTATATGATACTTTGACTACATGATACTGGCTTGACTACACAATAAGGTCTTTACCACATGGTACTGGCTTGACTATATGATACTGTATTGACCAAATAATACTGTCGTGACAACATGCTACTGTCTTGACCAAATAATACTGTCATGACTACATAATAATATCTTGACCACATAATACTGTCTTGACTACATTATGCTGTCTTAAGTAAATGATAACATCTCGACTACATGATACTGGCTTGACACCTGTCTATATGACAGTTGCCTAACTCCATGATACTATCTTGACTACCGGTACATGCTACTGACATTGCTATATGATACTGGCATGACTACTAAACTACATGATACTGGCTTGAAACCGACTGGACAACATGATGCTTATTTCACTACAGGATAATGACTTGATCATGACAGTCATGATACTGTCTACATGATATTGACAGGATACTGGCTTGATTATATGATACTGGTTTGAATATATCATACTTGATACTTGCTTGACTACATGATACCTGGATTGTCTAATACTGGTCTGATCACATGTCTTAACAATATGATACTGTCTTGAAAATATATTAATTGATTGACTACAGGATACTGTCTTGACTATTGGTTTCAATATTTGAAAGGTCTTTGACTGTATGGTTCCATAAAATAGACATTACTTCAAGGGGACATACTTTATTGACATACATGACACTACCACTTCTTAATCTTCAGTTAATCGATCTAATCATGATCACATGACATGACAATCATTATTTCTACTGTCATGATTTAATGGAAATGCCATAACTCAATTATACTGCTTAGGTTAATCATAATTTAAAGGTGCTGATCATGATCTTTAATGATGTTGTCCTGGCTTAGTCGTACTGTCATAAGTTTATGGTGCTGCCATGATTTAATGGCATTGTCATGATTACATGAAACTGCCATGGACAAATGATGCTGCCATGATTTTACGATTACTTGACAATGACATGCTTAATAATGCTTTCTTGACCTGCTGATGCTTACATGACTGCCACTGTCATGATTGGGTTGTGTACAAAATGACCATAGTATCATAGAGCCCACCATACTGCATATTTGTTGTTTACGAATCTCTACTGATTGACTGGGGTGTAAATATGTTTATTATGTCAATAAGATAAACATCTATTATAAACAATACTGTATTCTTAATAACAGTCACAATAGTGTATACTGATATGACGTATTCTTGGGACTTCTATCTGTAAAAAAAAAATCATTGTTCTTCAAAGTAAGAAAAAGAACCTTTGTTGTTTAACAGATATCGTGGAATTTTTATATAGGATTAGGTTTACATTAAATAACTACACATTGGCCTAACATTAAACTTATCTAACATTGTCTATTTTTAATTCTATCTAAACCAGGTGAGAATATTCTAAGCTACGTGATAAAAAATTTAAGACAAAATACATCTTATCTCTGACTGTTCCAGTGTGAAAATAATGCCAACAACTGTTTCATAATATCTTTGTCAGACTGATGGCCCTACTGCCTGGTTATTTTTATAACTTAAAGATTTTCTAAATAGGATTCTGAACTAGGATATCCAAATAAGGTGACTTAAAACAGGAAACTGAGTGGCTCACCTACTACCACTGTTTAATAGTAAGAAGTGATGAAATAATCAGTGCCCTCTGTGTAGAATAATTGGCACTATTCCTGACAGTTGAAGATATCGAAGATTTTAATAACTTTATTGAAAGTTTGGTAACCAACGTGGCACGAGAATAATTATTAAAAGTTATTTATAGCTCAAAGTTCTAACGAGGAATTCACCTATTTCCCTCGACTCTCTTTTTATAGTGAAATTAAGAGATAAGTATAGAACGTGAAAGTAACGGTCACTATATCAGTACTAGCGGTATACTTCAAAGGATTACTACCTGGATTACATATAACAATATTCAAACATGGTAAGCATAGAAATTTTACTAGAAATTGAAAATTTTACAAATGTTAAAAATGTAGTAACCTGCGACTAATTCTAAAATTAGATTTTGAACAGGTAAACAATTACTCGTGTTACCTTTAAAGGTATTTTGATTAGAACACCTGGTTACTGTGTCTAGACTGGAAATCAACTAAAACTTATTGATCAGATAAAGAAAATCCAATGGAATTTCTTACCATAGGACAATCAAAGCTTTTCTGAAGCATAGGCCTAATAGGATTTAGTTTGTCAATTTATAAAAGAAATCGAGTTGATAAACTTTCAAGTCAGGTTTTGTTCGTATATAGGTTATATTTGACCACAACGTGACCACTTGGAAAGACAATTTATATATGAATTAAAACAATTGTATTATCTAATTCTATACTGTAGAGAAGGTATTAGGTATATTTTTAAAAAGTAAATTTTGGCTTGACTTCTAGATTTTAGAATCTGGCATTTAACAATATTAAAATACCTCTCAAGAATTTGTCACTTGTGTGGACTAATCTATTTATCTGACCTACGTATTTGATATTCAAAACTATATACATAAAAGACAGGGTGTTAATAGGTCGCTTTGCTATACATAAAGTTAATAGATAACATCGATAGAACCGTTGGTTTTGGGTGATAAATATGGAGAAAAAGGAAAGAGAAAAACCAAAGCCCAACATAAATATTGTTATAATTGACTCAATGCTGACATTGTATTAATCAAATCTTGAGACAACTATAATCTTGCATCTTTTATATCTTCCAGTCCCATTATTACTTTTGGTTACCTTGCCTTCTGACTTTAAAAATAACATTAAGAAACTCGTTTGATAGATATAGGCCCACTTATCCAATTACAGATTGTGCCATATCATCTGTTTATCTCAATTAATTCTTTTAAATGACAATAACATCATCATTAGTAATCTAATTAGATCTTCTAATGGTTTTATAATTGTTCCCATTCTAAATGGTTAATTTGTGAAATAAAGTCGAAATAACCTTGGCATAGCATCAAAATATTTACAGAAAAACTTGACATTACTGATTGATTTCTATCTTAGAGAAAATATTTACAAATCTGGTTTATTACTGAACTTAATGGTTTAATTCATGTTAAATAGGTTGTAGGTTTACATTCAACAGTTAAGACTTTAATATACCACCATAGTGACTGCTGTAGTAAATCTTAAAGGGACAGATGCGCCATTTTTTTTTTGTTCAATCGTACCTTAGTACCTTAGCCGATCAATAAGAGAGTTCACAGCTCACCGTCGAAACTTGAGCCTTCAAATCCATGTGTGTTCAGAATTATTCACGTTTGAAATTTAAAAGACGGGTAGTCTTTTCTTGAGACAATGCCATAATATACAGAAAAGAAAATATAGAAATAGGAAGAGAATTTCCTAGTGTAAAATATTTTTGAAGGAATTACGCTATTTTCGTAGATTTCTAATACTTCTGAAGACTTTGATATATATTCAAGACTCAAATCAACCCTCCAAAATAGCACAGCTGTCCTTTAAACTAGCAAATTTTTCAGCTTTAAGAGCCTTTATGAAATGAGTATTAACTCAAAATACTTTTTACTTTCGATCTAATCTAAGAGTAGGCTACAGTTTTGTTGTAAAATATTCAATAAATATAAGACTTTAATATCACACCATAGTGACTGTGATAAATCATAAAATCATGTATTTTGTCTTATATATCTATAGAAAATCAACTGAAATGTGCACGAGAAGAATCTTTTTGAAAAAGTTCCAACTGTGTCTACGTTAGCAATAATACCCAAGGTAAAATCTAGGATCTGACATTTAATAAATTGTTAATACTGGTTGGTCCAGATCTATGATAATAAGCGATATATCGTAAATATGATATAACCAGAAAGGTGTGTAATCGACCTTGGTTAAGATATACGTAATATACATCTGTAATGCATCATAGATCACCCATTCAAGGTGTGGCTGGCTGGCATTGAGTATGATATTGTTCAAATAGTCACGTGTATCTCATACCAATCCTTCAGCCCACGTTAACAATAAGTTAACTCAGAAAGTAAAATATATTGTTACCAATGGCAGCGATCTGCTGAACAGCAGTACAGATAAAGTAAACAATTAAAATAAAGTTCCCAAATTAGCATCAATAAAGGTAGAAAATAATCCTTAAGGCAGTAATTTCACGAAGAACATTTAGATCCAAGGTAGCTCAAAGCAGAAATTTCTTGGACATTATTACACGATTACATTTATAATTTCATAAGTTTATAAAAACAAAAAGGGATTAATAATGTACAAAATCAGATATTTTTGAACTGTTAGTAGTACCGGTACCAACTTCTTACTGACACGAACGTTAGGTTTGTTTAATAGACGTCAGGAGAAATACCTATAGCAGTGACTAGTAAGAAAGGAATGAATGGGCTGAGTGCCAGATGAATTGTATTAATATTATAACAACCAACGAGAGTCTATCTATTCCATATGGTTTTTGATTGTATAAAAAAGTAGATATACACTGTAGGAAATAGACCTAATATATATTACGAGATATTTATAACTGAATGTTTTAAAACCCACGATAAACATAAATATCATAATAAGTAAAAGAACATTCTTCTTATGTTTCCTTTAATAATGAATTTCAATGAAAGGCAGTAAGAAGCCTTGTTAAAAAGCCTTGTTAAGAAGCGCAAAACTTTATTATTTGATAATTTTCAATTGAAAAAAACTGACAAAATGTTTACGAATAAACTAAATCGAAAATACATCTTCCTCTTATTACCACGTATGTTAAATTTAAATAAATATTTAAACAAGAATATCTGAAGCCCATACACGTAGATGTAGATTATGCCATTACGTTGTGTGTTACATTTAGCCAGTTATACAGCAATATATTTCTAGTCAAACAATAATATAGCTAGTCTTACAGTAATGTATCTAGTCATACAGCAATGTATCTAGTCAGACAATAATATAGCTAGTCATACAGCAATATATCTAGTCATACAGTAATATATATCTAATCAGACAATAATATAGCTAGTCATACAGTAATATATATCTCACCAGACAATAATATAGCTAGTCATACAGTAATATATATCTAATCAGACAATAATATAGCTAGTCATACAGTAATATATATCTAATCAGACAATAATATAGCTAGTCATACAGTAATATATACCTCATCAGACAATAATATAGCTAGTCATACAGCAATATATATCTCATCAGACAATAATATAGCTAGTCAGACAATAATATATATCTAATCAGACAATAATATAGCTAGTCATACAGCAATATATATCTCATCAGACAATAATATAGCTAGTCAGACAATAATATATATCTAATCAGACAATAATATAGCTAGTCATACAGCAATATATATCTCATCAGACAATAATATAGCTAGTCAGACAATAATATATATCTAATCAGACAATAATATATCTAGTCATACAGTAATATATCTCGTCATACAGCAATATATCTAGTCGGACAATAATATATTTAATCAATCAGTAATATACCTATCAGACAGTGATATATGTCGATATATATTTTTTAAGAAAGTAATATATCTATTAAAAAGTAATGTTTATAGCCAGACAGTAATATATATAGCCAGACAGTAATAAATTTATTCAGATAGTATTATATCTAATCAGTCAGACAGAAAATAATATATCTAGTTAGACAATAATATTTCATCAGACTATAATATATCTAGTCATACAGTAACATATCTAGTAAGACAATAATATATCTATTTATACATTAATGTATCTTGTCAGATAATAATGTTTCTAGTCAGGCAGCAATATACTCAGTCAGACAATAATATATCCTGACAAAATATGAAATATCTAGTCATACAGTAATATATCTGGCCAGACAGTAATATATCTAACCAGATAGTAATATATCTGGTCAAACAATAATATACTTAGTTACACCTTAGTTTATCTAGTCAGACAATAACAGACAATTATAATTCTAGTCGGACAGTAATATATCTAGTCAGACAATAATATATCTGGTCATACAGTAACATATCTAGTAAGACAATAATATATCTATTTATACATTAATGTATCTAGTCAGATAATAATATTTCTAGTAAGGCAGCAATATATTCAGCCAGACAATAATATATCCAGACAAAATATGAAATATCTAATAATACAGTAATATATCCAGTCAGACAATAATATATCCAGTAATATTTCTAGTCAAACAATAATATACTTAGTTATACATTAGTTTATCTAGTCAGACAATAACAGACAATAATAATTCAAACAGTAATATATCTAGTCAGACAATAATATAGCTAGTCAGACAATAACAATTCTAGTCAAACAGTAATATATCTAGTCAGACAATAATATATATAGCCAGACGATAATATATCTAATCAGACAATAATATATTTAGTCAGAATATAAAATATCTAGTCATACAATAATATATCTAGTAAGGGAGTAGAATATCCAGCCAGTGATGTATTTATTCAGAGAGTCATATATCTAGTCAGACGGTGATATATCTAGTCAGAAAATAAACATCTTGTCAGACAATAATAAATTTAGTCATACAGTAATATATATGTAGTCAGACAGTAATGCATCAAGTCAGATAATAATATATCTAGTCATACATTAATGTATCTAGTCTATATCTACAATAATATTTATAACCAGACAATAATATATCTAGTCATACAGTAATATATCTAGTCATACAGTAATATATTTACAATATATCTAGTCATACAGTAATAAATCTAGTCGGTCAGTAATATATTTACCGAGACTACAATATATCTAGTCAGGCAGTAATGTATCTACTAAGAATATAAAAATATCTAGCCAGATATATATCTAATCAGTCAGTAATATACATTGATATATCTTTTAAGACGGTAATATATCTATCAACAAGTAATATGTCTCGTAAGACAGTCATGTATCTAGATCAGATTCAGATTGAGATCTAGTAAGACAGTTATAAATCAACTCTAGTCAGACAGTAACAGATTATACAATATTATATCTACGTATCTATTTTTCAGTCGTCAGGAGTTGGTGTTGATGATCAATGTATCCAAGCATTTATGGAAATAAAAATGCACCATCGATATTTGTACATAATTTATAAAGTTTCAGATGATCTCAAATCAATTGTTATAGATGAAATAGGGGGTAGAGGTGAGTTTGAGGCACATACTCTTCACATTTGAAAAGTTGTGATCAATTTATGTGTTCTAGCAGTAGTTAAAAATACTGAATTATGTCAAGTGATATTGAGACATGTAATACCATTCAAAAAACAAGTATTTGACATTTTGGAGTTTAGTTCTCGCCCTAATTATACTACTTTATTTCACTTTCCACTATGTTTTAAAACAGCAACATTTCTAAATTATTTTACAATTCTTTCTGTCGAACAAAAGTATTAGACCTTGACCGTTTAAAATTTCAGACAGAAATTATGCTGATTTTGTAAATAAATTAAAAGCTGCAGAAAACATGAAACAATGTAGGTATGGTGTTTACGATGTTCAGTTTTTACAAGAACAAGTTCCACAAGAAAGACTAGTCTTTTTTCTATGGTACGTTTAATAGTTGCTAATATATACATTGGCTTGAAAATGAATTGTTTTAGATTTTCTTTGGAGCTTTATATGTTTCCAATATACACCTATTGTAGGAAGGCCACGTTTTGATTGGTCTTCACAGGACCTCTCTGTACCCGATTTTTCTGGAACAAGATCACTTGTTTTTTTTTAAGTGAAATGAGAGAAGTATTCTAATAAAGAACGCTGGCCTAGGTGACAAAGTAAAAAACAATTTTTTTGGGTGTCAGGAAAGGGTTTCTTATTTCATCCATATCTTTTCTTTGCTGTTGTAATGACATTTTTTATATTTTTATAGGAGTCCTGAAGTAGCAAGTGTCAGACAGAAGATGGTGTATTCTTCCAGTAAAGCAGCATTTAGACTTCAGTTAAAGGGAATAACAACGGAAATGCAGTGTAACGATGATGGAGATTTAGCAGTATCTAATGTATTAGAAAGATGTAGTAGAAAATATACCTTTAGTCCACCAATCTGAACTGTAACTTTACGAATTGGTATACTTGAGTCATTTCGAAACAATCTGTGATTAAATTGGTTTTGGTGAGACGTTTAGATACATCATTATGTACATGTAAATAATGAACACGATTCGTGAAGTGTTGAGTAACGTTCAAACAAGAACAACAGCATGAACGAAAAGAGAATAAACATACAGCTTTGAACTCAACTCAATCGCTTTAGTGTTAATGGAAACTAACAACAAGCGTAGAATTTAGGGATGTGAAAATCATTGATATTCAATACTTATAGTTATGTCAGATTCTAAAGGTGTGAAAATAATTGAATGCATGTTAAAATGTAATCTATTAGCATGCCTCATTTAATTTAGTTCATTCCAAATATAAACAAATCAAGCCTTTTGACTAAAGTTCCTTAATTATGCCAAGATCGAATCATTTACATAGTATTGTTAAATATATGGAACTGATAGTTCTAAAGAAAGTTGTTCGTTCTATACCATTTGGATGCAACATGCCATGGGGATTATTTATATCATTAATGCAGTTGGCTGCCAAAATTGTTAACATTCTACTTATTACTGTCATGATGTGTGTAGTTAAGTAAGAAATGAAAGAAAAAACCGACATAAGCTTCTGATCAGTCGCTGAATTTACTCCGTTAATTTAAGTCGTCAGTCGACATGTTTACTCAGTCACAAAGCGTTGACCGAATTTATTGATTAGCCCAATGACTCACTAGGCAGTAGCTGGAATTATTAATTAGCTCAATGACTCACGAGGAAATGACTGGATTTATTGATTAGCTCAATGACTCAGGAGGAATTGACTGGATTTATTGATTAGCTCAATGACTCACGAGGAATTGGTTGAATTTATTAATTAGCTCACTGGCTCACGAAGAACTGGCTGAATTTATTAATTAGCTCACCGACGCACGTGGCATTGGCTGAATTTATTGATTAGCTCACTGACTCACGAGACAGAGGTTGAATTTATTAATTAGCTTGCTGACTCACGAGGAATTGGCTTAATTTATTGATTATCTCACTAACTCATGAGGCATTGGCTGAATTTATTGATTAGCTCACTGACTCACGAGACAGAGGTTGAATTTATTAATTAGCTTGCTGACTCACGAGGAATTGGCTTAATTTATTGATTATCTCACTAACTCATGAGGCATTGGCTGAATTTATTGATTAGCTCACTGACTCACGAGGAATTGGCTTAATTTGTTGATTACCTCACTAACTCATGAGGCATTGGCTGAATTTATTGATTAGCTCACTGACTCACGAGGCAGTGGTTGAATTTATTAATTAGCTGAATGACTCAAGAGGAAACGGTTGAATGTATTGAATAGCTCTCTGACTCACGGGGAAGTTGCTGAATGTATTGATTAACTCACTGAATCGTGAGGAATTGGCTGAATTTATTAATTATCTCAATGACTCACAAGGAATGGGCTGAATTTATTGATTAGCTCAATATCCCGCGAGGAATTGACTGAATTATTAATTCGCTGAATGACTGACGGGGAATTGGTTGAATGTATTGATTAGTTCACTGACTGACTGTGTAGTGGCTGGATTGGTTGGCTCAGTGTCTCAAGAAGGACATGACTGAATTGATTTATTAACCCACGAGGCATTGACTGAATATATTGATTAGCTCAGTGACTCGCTGGGAATTGGCTGAATATATATTGATTGGCTCACTTCCTCACGAGGCATTGGCTATACCACTGAATGGCCAACATTAGCTTAAGGACTCAATTTTAAATTTATTATCAGTGTTGCAGCAATAGAGCGTCTATCGACTCTCATTGACTTACTTGATTACTTGTCTGTCGATCTGTAAAAAATATACTTCACCTGACTGAACCCATGAAAGTGTATCTGCTTCAGTGTGACTTTTAATGCCTCAATGAGTTGTTGTACTGATTGATGATCTCATTCAGTCTTTACTTTTTATTTAGAAATACCAGACTAGAAAGTAATTAATCTCTTTTGATTGACAATTTATTTAGATTTCTTTTGAAAATCCAAATGAGAGCACAGAGCATAATTGATCATGTTTAAGTTAAGTATTGTGTAGTCTTAGTATATTAAATGTATATATTTGCTACAAGTAATTTATGAAATGTGAAAAAGCTTATTTTTATAGAATAATTAGTTGTTGCATAATGCTTTAATCATGATATAAATAAAGCTGTTTCATTAGAAATTCATATATTTGTCTTTCACAATTTGATTTACAATATCTGCTTTCCAGCAGAAAGCCTTCTTTACTGGACTTCAGAACGGAATATTGGGCATAAAGCTATTCTTTTTATATGCTTGTTCAAAACAACCAAAATACAGTACCTTTGGATTCACATTGGATGGCCATTCTTGTCACTATTAAAATTAGGAAATAATTTTCTATTGCCCAAGGAATGAAAAAGTATTAGTTAAAACACTCTTTAATTAAACAAAGAAATCTGAATCTAAAAATATTAAAGTTGAACACTGAACTGTTACAAAGTTTTAAAATTAAACATTCCTCAAAATACCAGCAAAAATACACTTTAAGGTTTTAAATTTACACTTTAAAAACTTCCATTCAAATCTTTAACGAAAATAGAGTTAAAAAAACTGACACAGGAAGACAATGAAGCATGCTTTTGTCTTAAAAATAACACAAACTAAAGTTGTTCATGAAGGTATCACAGCACAAAAATTTCAACCCAAATATGATCAACTAATAACCAAACTAAAAAATAAATAGATAAATAAATAAATAAATACTACGGGTGGTATTATGACTAGATGATTTAAAAGGCAAGAAAAATAACATAATGTCTATATACAAAATAACATAGTATTAAAAAAAACATATTAAACATGGATTCACAACATTCAGCTACATTAATATTAGCACTTGTTATAAAAATATATTCTGGTTAGAAACTAGATATCATCTCATGATTCATTCCTTCAAACTATCCATGATTTTGATTCAGTTCATTTGTAAAATATTGCACATGTCCCAGTAATCCCAGATTTCCCGCGATTAGAAGGAAATTCAAATATAAAGATATTGAAGTGAGACAAAAACCATCTCACAAAAAACATATTACAATATCATTCTAAATCTTTTTAAACATTAAAATGAGATTCTTAAAATCAAAACATTGGATTTAATCTAACAATATATAGAAATAACAAACAAATAACAAATAGAATAATTACTGAGGAGTATTTAAACAGTTCATTGTCTTAAATATTTGAAATATTTTCTGAGTAAAAACCCTGAATCCTCATTAAATAAATTAACAAACATTACAGTGATGTTATAAATATTGTAATATTACTAATATCAAATATTACTTCAACTGCAATATTACAAATATCAAATTTTACTGAAATAAATATTACTGCAATATAACTAATAGTAAATATTACTGCAATATAACTAATAGTAAATATTACTGCAATATAACTAATAGTAAATATTACTGCAATATAACTAATAGTAAATATTACTGCAATATGGCAATAGAACAAATGTCAACCACTTCAGCAACAAAACAATTATCAAATTATTACTGCAATATTCATAAAAGCAAACTGGATGGATTTTATATTTAAAAACTGTCTGTATCACACTATAACACACACAAAATATTTATATCAGTTGTCAAATTCACCATCCATTTAATATTAATACTGCAAATGATCACATGTCCAAACTATTTACAAATTTCTGTGGGAAAAAACTGTCAAACTCATGCTCTGTACATAATATATTATTTACATGGACAAATCCTTGAATAAATTATTCAAACTTATCAACTACTTCACTACGCTAGAAATTAATAATGCGCATATCATTATGTCTATATATTCTTCATTATCTTATGATCAATAAGGTAACATGGTATATTTCACTAACATAATAAAACATAACATAACATCTGGAACTAAGGTTTTTGTTTTTATGAAAACTCTTACATCAAACTACATTACAAGCAGCATTAGGAATAAGTTACACATTGTCTTGGTTTTATATAGTTTCATTTTCAGGTTTAATCTTAGACTATTTGGCCAAAATGGCACTGAACTTGTGTTCTTACGAAAATTAGATGCCAAGTTCGTTCTCATATTGTTTGCGGAAACATTCTCCCACAGGGAAGAAATCCCAGCATCTTTGTTGATACATCTCCCAAACATAGGATTCCTGAAAAATTCAGAAAATATAACTTTAATCTCTACATTAGAAATAAATGACTGAGTAGAACACAATTTACAAATAATGGAGAAAACTACATATTTAATGCCTTGACTTTGTATAATATGATTAAAACAATATTTATTACTATCTATAATATCAATTAAAATACTTTTTGGTTAAAAATAAAACTCTCTGTGTTCAATACCAAAAAGATCTTGACATAGAATAAAATTTGTTACCTGTCCAGTATGTTCTGTGTCAGGTTTGTTAATGAGATGCATCAAGAAAAACCTGCAAAAAAAACCCCCAAATAAACAAATATAATTCTATTAATCTATATAAATCTATTCAAATCAAAGTAGTATGTCAGAATTGAAAGATGTCATAACTGTATGTTTAACCTTCAAACAGCTTTAATCATGACAAATAGAGTTACTTACATGTAGTTGGCAAAGTTGTGTTCATTTTTAACATGCGTTTCGAAACCATGCGGAACTTTATCGAAATACTCTTTTCCGATTCCACATATGAAGCATTTTGACTGAAAGAAAAAATTAATCAAAATTCATGAAACACGTAATAGAAAGTTAAATATCAAGAAAAACAATTAATAACATGTATTAAATTTATAAGAAAAAAACAAAAATCTGTGGTTTTTAATTTAATAAAATATCTCATTACCTCCATGTCTTCTTTTACTTGTTCTAATTGATCTCTCAGCTCTCCAAAGGCATCAATAATCAAACCTGAATAAACATACAAGATGAATAGTTGTTACCTTATTATGTTAAATGAATATAACATCATCACAGAGCATCTAATTCTTTTAACTCATAACTCACTAGGGAACTTAATTCTGAAATGTGCTATTGATAGCTGATATTGAACTTAAAAGGCTGGTAAACTAAATATTTAGAGTTGCATTTGGTTTAAGTTGTTGAAAGTTGTGTTAAACCTTGTAAACTATAAATATGGAATGCACTTACCCTGAATAATGGCCAGGAGAATAACAATAACAAAGAAGAAGAAAGTAACATCAAATAAAATTCTATAAACTTCATAAGGATCACCATCAGCTGGTTCTATTTCATCACCTGTAGAATAAATAGAGATATTCAGTATTATACATATAGAACTATTGTTAAAACAAGTACACTGGAGATTAGAGGAATAGAAACACCTATTGTAATTATCAAGTTAGATACCTTAGAGGTTGAGTAACTTGCTCATTAATTGGCACTGATATATAGATCTCAAGAAAAATAAATTGTGGAATCTTAAAGTTATCCTGAGAGAACTAAGATTTTATGTTGAATTTTAGAAAACTTACCAATACCACCTCCAGCTCTCACTCCAGTGTGTAAATGATAAACAAAACACTAAAATAATAACACTATAGTTAATGATATATATCTTAATAGAACGAGTAATTGTGAATATAGTATATATAATGCACAACCCTTCTTACTGCTTGTGAATCTGCTAAAATCTGTCACTGTAAATAATGTGCACTCTATCCTTTATCTAACCTTATTCTACAACTTACATACATAATGCTGCCAAGTTTCATTGAACACTGTTACAATGACAAGCCACTGTTTATTGATAAACAGCTACATTAATTGTACAGAACTTAACTGTATACAGTTAACACCTACCGTTGCCATGTCATGACATTTTTGATCGACTTGGCCATCTTCTTCCTTAACATAAAATTTGCGGAAGAAATTAAAGGCAATAACTGTATAGATATATACAACAACACAAGTCAACATCACAGTCAACACCAGCTGAAATATAATATAGAATAGACATTAGATATTTATAACTTTAAGTAAGATGTCATGTTCGTGTGTGTAAAACAAGTTGCTTTTTGAAAAATGAAAAAGAAGAAAGTAATCATGAAATGAAAATGAAATGAATAGAGTTTTACGTCCTACTTTTCTGCAACATGTGGGCTAATGAAGACGGGCAACGCCATGCAGGTTGCAATGAGGGAAATTTTGCCAGGACAGCGACATTAGCCTACTCTTTTTCGATTTCCAACTGTCGAGGGATCTTTAACGTGCACAGCCTGTAGCACACGGGGCCTCGGTTATGTCAGGAAAGTAATCATGAAACTGTACTCTATCACACTATCATTTGATGTATGTAATATATTTTGTAAATTAATTGATTTCATAGAACAATTATCTCTTTTACCATCAACAAACATCTAATATATCAATACTGTTATATATTATAGTTCTATGATCTAATATATCAATACTGTTATATATTATAGTTCTATGATCTAATAATAATATATCAATACTGTTATATATTATAGTTCTATGATCTAATATATCAATACTGTTATATATTATAGTTCTATGATCTAATATATCAATACTGTTATATATTATAGTTCTATGATCTAATATATCAATACTGTTATATATTATAGTTCTATGATCTAATATATCAATACTGTTATATATTATAGTTCTATGATCTAATAATAATATATCAATACTGTTATATATTATAGTTCTATGATCTAATATATCAATACTGTTATATATTATAGTTCTATGATCTAATATATCAATACTGTTATATATTATAGTTCTATGATCTAATATATCAATACTGTTATATATTATAGTTCTATGATCTAATATATCAATACTGTTATATATTATAGTTCTATGATCTAATAATAATATATCAATACTGTTATATATTATAGTTCTATGATCTAATATATCAATACTGTTATATATTATAGTTCTATGATCTAATATATCAATACTGTTATATATTATAGTTCTATGATCTAATATATCAATACTGTTATATATTATAGTTTTATGATCTAATATATCAATACTGTTATATATTATAGTTCTATGATCTAATAATAATATATCAATACTGTTATATATTATAGTTCTATGATCTAATAATAATATATCAATACTGTTATATATTATAGTTTTATGATCTTATATATCAATATTGTTATATATTATAGTTCTATGATCTAATAATAATATATCAATACTGTTATATATTATAGTTCTATGATCTAATATATCAATACTGTTATATATTATAGTTCTATGATCTAATATATCAATACTGTTATATATTATAGTTCTATGATCTAATATATCAATACTGTTATATATTACAGTTCTATGATCTAATATATCAATACTGTTATATATTATAGTTCTATGATCTAATAATAATATATCAATACTGTTATATATTATAGTTCTATGATCTAATATATCAATTCTGTTATATATTATAGTTCTATGATCTAATATATATTATAGTTCTATGATCTAATAATAATATATCAATACTGTTATATATTATAGTTCTATGATCTAATAATAATATATCAATACTGTTATATATTATAGTTCTATGATCTAATATATCAATACTGTTATATATTATAGTTCTATGATCTAATAATAATATATCAATACTGTTATATATTATAGTTCTATGATCTAATATATCAATACTGTTATATATTATAGTTCTATGATCTAATATATCAATACTGTTATATATTATAGTTCTATGATCTAATAATAATATATCAATATTGTTATATATTATAGTTCTATGATCTAATATATCAATTCTATTATATATTATAGTTCTATGATCTAATATATCAATACTGTTATATATTATAGTTCTATGATCTAATATATCAATACTGTTATATAGTGATCTAATATATCTCTACTGTTATATATTATAGTTCTATGATCTAATATATCAATACTGTTATATATTATAGTTCTATGATCTAATAATAATATATCAATTCTTACCTGTTTGCCATTGTGTGTGACTGACTGTAAGATGGTTCGTAAAGTTTTTATTCCAATGGCAACATCCAACAAGTGGGCTGCGAAGAAGAAATAGTTGAAGTTGCCGAGGACTGAAAATAGGAAGTACCAGGCACTATACAGGAAAGCCTAAAATATATAAAATTATACTCAACATATAGGCTTAGTTGCGAGTACAGTCGTATTATATATTTCAAAAGATATATACATGATACATAGAGAATGATATTAGTACATCAATTAACAAATCTGAATGTCAAATAAGAAAAAAAAAAAATTTATTATACTTACATTATCTGTAAATATAGCTCCCCATTTCCATATTTGGTACTGAAAGTCTACATTAGACAAGCTGAAAAAATACAGATTGATTGCCAATAATTATAATTAACCTCTTTTTATATAAATAATAACCAGATATTTCAGCTAATTTTCTAGATCAGAAAACTATATAGATATAACAAAAGTTTTAACACATTGTGTCAGTATGTAACATACAAATTAAAGCGAAAGTATGTGCCAGTTTGAAAAAAAAAAAACAAAAAAGAGATCGTCTCCCTTTGGTGCACAGATTCATCAATTTCTGTCAACTTTTTTTAATAATTTTTTTCGAAATAATCTAAAATTCCAATTTTTTTTGTTTATTAAAACTCTGCATTATTATGTAGAAATTTCCAAAGATACAAGGTAAATTGATACATAGTCTCACTTTAAAAATGAAATAATAGAATTACCAAACACAAAACTTACAAGGCAGGTAAATACGATTTGGTTGGTGCTGTTGTTTCTTTATGTACATTTTGTTTCTCCATTCCTAGTAATCCACTGATAGCTCCATAATCATATTGTTCAGCATATCGAGAGCGAACCTACAATATACAGGGTTTAAAACGGTTAAACAGCACAACTATCAAATCTGCATATCTATTTAATTTTTAAAGTGTTAACTCTATTGTATTAAATTGTATCAAAGAATCAATTGTTGAAAGGAGATTCACTTCAGGTGTAACTTTTAGAATGACTGACTAAAAACCTGAACAAACTATTCCCGATTTGAAATCCTAAAATCTTACCTTCTTTTTAACAAATTTATCCCAGTAACTTTCTGGGAATGATCTGGTACTAAGAACAAGACGATCCCACTGAGCTTTCAAATCATCATCACCAGGTTGTTCAGCAACATACAATCCTTCGAATTCTAATTTACGGGCAATCTCTTTTTCACGTTTAAATATAACTAAAGGCACTTTAAGACAGTAATAAGCTATCAATATGGACAGTGAGAGAAGACAATGCAAGAAAGCTAGACCAGTCATCACGTATTCTAGATATGTTTTATCATCTTCCATTGTAACTATCTCAGCTATATCTTCATCACCTCCTTCAGCAGTCTCATTACCAGCAGCACCTTCTTCTGTCTTAGTTGATACCTAAAATCATTCCAAAAATATTCAGCTAAAAAATTGTCATAAATGGTGATATAAAATAAGAAATAATAAATTGAGTACTAACAGATACAAAAACAAAAATTCAAATGCATATATCTATAAAATAATTCCTCTATGAACATTTCTGATCAACATAGGTTTTAAATGGTTATAGATGTCTGATTTTTGAATTATATAACCCAATGTCAGTTTTATATTCTTCATCATGCTATGGGTTACTAACATTGTGTACTAACAACTACAAAAACAAATACCATTAATCAAATGCCTATATTCGTAAAAGATTTTTCTTTTTTGATTAGATCCTAAAAAACTCCATGTCATCCTTTTTGCATGACTGTTATTGTTTCATTCCACCACCATAATAAACTATTAGCAAACAAGACAGAAACTGTTAAACAAAAGAATCTTACCTTATAAAAGAGTAACATACAATTCAAAATGAAGGCTAGAACCAAGGCCATAAACTTAAAGTTGTAGAAATTTCTTGCAAATAAACTCTGAAAAAGAAATACAGTTTGTTTTTTATCAATCCAGTTTAACAATGTTCTATTCTTGTCTACATGTTGACCCCTTTAAATAATAGGAATTGTAAAATATAAGCACTCCAAAATGACTGAAACTTAAAGAAACCTGTTCATGGGCACAGGTCAATTGTTAAATATACAACATTTTACACAAACTATTAGAATTTCAAGTGAAAATAGTGGTTAAAATATGTGCGATACTTACCAAAACATACTTTCCATAATCAAAAGCTTGAGTTTCTAGAGGAGGTTCTTCTTCTATTGGTACAGATTGATCACCTAGTGTTCCATTCATATTACTAGTTCTACAATATAAATCATTTATCAATGGTACAGACTGATCACCTAGTGTACCATCAATATTACTAGTTCTACAATATAAATCATTTATCAATGGTACAGACTGATCACCTAGTGTTCCATTCATATTACTAGTTCTACAATATAAATCATTTATCAATGGTACAGACTGATCACCTAGTGTATCATCAATATTACTAGTTCTGCAATATAAATCATTTATCACTGGTACAGATTGATCACCTAGTGTTCCATTCATATTACTAGTTCTACAATATAAATCATTTATCAATGGTACAGACTGATCATCTAGTGTTCCATTCATATTACTAGTTCTACAATATAAATCATTTATCAATGGTACAGATTGATCACCTAGTGTTCCATTCATATTACTAGTTCTACAATATAAATCATTTATCAATGGTACAGACTGATCACCTAGTGTTCCATTCATATTACTAGTTCTACAATATAAATCATTTATCAATGGTACAGACTGATCACCTAGTGTATCATCAATATTACTAGTTCTGCAATATAAATCATTTATCACTGGTACAGATTGATCACCTAGTGTTCCATTCATATTACTAGTTCTACAATATAAATCATTTATCAATGGTACAGACTGATCATCTAGTGTTCCATTCATATTATTAGTTCTACAATATAAATCATTTATCAATGGTACAGATTGATCACATAGTGTACTGTTTATATTACTAGTTCTACAATATAAACTATTTATCAATGGTACAGATTGATTATCTTATGTACTGTTTATACTACTAGTTCTACAATATAAACTATTTATCAATGGTACAGATTGATTATCTTATGTACTGTTTATACTACTAGTTCTACAATATAAACCATTTATCAATGGTACAGATTGATCATCAAGTGAACCATTAATATTACTAGTTCTACAATATAAACCATTTATCAATGGTACAGATTGATCACCAAGTGTACCATTTATATTACTAGTTCTACAATATAAATCATTTATCAATGGTACAGATTGATCACATAGTGTACTGTTTATATTACTAGTTCTACAATATAAATCATTTATCAATGGTACAGATTGATCACCAAGTGTACCATTAATATTACTAGTTCTACAATATGAACTATTTATCAATGGAACAGATTGATCATCAAGTGCATCATTAATATTACTAGTTCTACAATATAAACTATTTATCAATGGTACAGATTGATCATTTTATGTACTGTTAATATTACTAGTTCTACAACATAAACCATTAATCAATGGTACAGATTGATCATCTTATGTACTGTTTATATTACTAGTTCTACAATATAAACTATTTATCAATGGTACAGATTGATCATCAAGTGCACCATTAATATTACTAGTTCTACAACATAAACCATTTATCAATGGTACAGATTGATCATCTTATGTACTGTTAATATTACTAGTTCTACAATATAAACTATTTATCAATGGTACAGATTGATCATCAAGTGCACCATTAATATTACTAGTTCTACAATATAAACTATTTATCAATGGTACAGATTGATTATCTTATGTACTGTTTATATTACTAGTTCTACAATATAAACTATTTATCAATGGTACAGATTGATCATCAAGTGCACCATTAATATTACTAGTTCTACAATATAAACTATTTATCAATGTTACAGGTTGATTATTTTATGTACTGTTTATATTACTAGTTCTACAATATAAACCATTTATCAATGGTACAGATTGATTATCTTATGTACTGTTTATATTACTAGTTCTACAATATAAACTATTTATCAATGGTACAGATTGATCACCTAGTGTTCCATTCATATTACTAGTTCTACAATATAAATCATTTATCAATGTTACAGGTTGATTATCTTATGTACTGTTTATATTACTAGTTCTACAATATAAACTATTTATCAATGTTACAGGTTGATTATCTTATGTACTGTTTATATTACTAGGTCTACAATATAAACTATTTATCAATGTTACAGGTTGATTATCTTATGTACTGTTTATATTACTAGTTCTACAATATAAACTATTTATCAATGTTACAGGTTGGTTATTTTATGTACTGTTTATATTACTAGTTCTACAATATAAACTATTTATCAATGTTACAGATTGATTATCTTATGTACTGTTTATATAACTAGTTTTACAATATAAACTATTTATCAATGTTACAGGTTGGTTATTTTATGTACTGTTTATATTACTAGTTCTACAATATAAACTATTCATCAATGTTACAGGTTCATTATCTTATGTACTGTTTATATTACTAGTTCTACAATATAAACTATTTATCAATGTTACAGGTTGATTATTTTATGTACTGTTTATATTACTAGTTCTACAATATAAACTATTTATCAATGTTACAGGTTGATTATTTTATGTACTGTTTATAACAATAGTTTTAACATTATAATTGTTTATGAACTTACCCAGACATATCAGGTTGATAAACATTCTGTGTTGAAGCTTGTAATAATGGTTGTTGATTTTCTTCAACTGATTCTTGAAAGAAAGCTTCATCTTCTTCTAACTATAAAAGTTAAAAAATCTATTGATGGCCCAACTAAGACAGGAAAATTTATCTACTATAATCCATTGAATGAGTCCTTTACAGATAGATGCCTTATATATAGGGTGTAGTAAATAGCTACATACCAAATTCAGTTGTATAAAGGAATAGGAATACATTACCTCCATATATTGAGTTTCCAGATCTGCTTTCGTGGTAGTTGATTTGTTTTCACTTGTAGCAGCAGGAGGAGTACCAGCTTCTACATTCGTTACTGATCCATTTGATGGTAGTCCATTAGATTTCCTGTTATTGAAAAAACATAATAATAATAGAACACACACTCCAATAACAACAGTTCTTGCAACATCTCTAAGACAGTGTTGGTGTCAAAAGATCAAACATGGTGGTCCAACATTGAATTGTTGTCTGATTTGTGATTTTGTGATTTCAGTTTTTAGCAAGTGAGCACACAAATGTCTGACATAATTTCGAACTTTAAAATGAAACCCACTTGTCAGTGTCTGTATCAGATCTATTGATCTCTATAGGATCTATTTTAATTGGTGTTAATGGAATACCAGGAGGACCAAGAGCTAGTGGTGCTAATTTAGCTGCCTCCGCTGCAGCAGCCAACTCTTTCTCTTTCTGTCTCTGTTTGGCTTCTTCTTCACTCTTGTCTCCCATCATCATATTGATAAAGAATTTCAGTAAAGTCCTGTTTAAGACCAAAAAATGATAAAATAAGAACATACTTAAAACTGATATATGATTACCTAATTTTAATGTGGATTTTGTATGTACACAAAAAATTTAATATTTTCATCTTTCACTACTAGTCTATAAGAAATGTGTTTCTCACTTAAGTATACTTACCAAACAATGTTAAATCCAAAACAAATGGTCATAAAGGACAATTTAAAGGTGAGTTTAATCAAGGCTACAAACACCTGCCAATATGTCATACTCTTGAAAGCTGAATAAGATTTTTTGATGTTTGTCCATGTAAAGAAGGAGAAGAATGAGAAGAGAAGATCTTTGAAGAATCTGTAGGTAATAGATATAGGCTCCAATACACTGAAAATATAATGGAGTTTATAAAAGCAGGTTAAAATTTAAATTAATTGTAAGATGTCAAATTAAGTTATACAAGAGCACAAAAGAACACTGTAACATGTTAATGATGTTAATCATAATTCAATTCAATTATATATATGATCATTATCTACTTATTAAAGTGTAAAAAGTGGGTTAATTGTGCTATCAAAGAATACCATTCGTAGTTCTCTTCTTTCTAAATCATCATTGATACATCAAAACCAATCTGACATTTCCTATAATAGTAGGCATGTAGTACTAACACATTCTGAGGTAACTCATATATATAATCAATTTATATACATTACTGATTGAAAAGAGATTTTAGCAAAAAAATAAAACATGAATATGGTAATAAGATTTCATGCTGATTTTGTTAGATTAAAATCTTTTTAAAAAGTTGGATGTGATATTAGTGTAACAGTATTAATCAAATGGGAATGAAAAGTGTCATTAAGATATATTATGATTGAAATTGGTGGAGATTTAGTTGTTAAATTGATAAAGTATATATCATAAGATAAAATAGAGGATGGGTAATTCATAAAATAGGCAATGGATTTGATATTTGAAAGATATGTGTAAATTGAGAGGTTATAACATTATCTAGTAACCTGTTGCTGGGTGCTTTTCTTTTTTGAGATTCGCTACAAATATATGATAAAGAGAAGAGAAATTACATATCTATGAATAACTGAATTAATCAAGACACAAAAAAAATTATTTTACAAATAGAAAATAACAATTTAGCAATAATCATTCTTACCCTCCTTCTCCTCCAAATCCACCACTCTTCAAAGCAGCTATTCTCTGTTCTTCTGCACTAATGCTAGTTGCATGCTGCATCTGCAAAATAAAAAATCTCCAATAAAGACACAAAAATAAAAGTTAAATATGGATCTGATGAACCTTAAAACCATGAAGTATAAAATACCCTTTGGTGAACTAACTGCCAAAATCCACTTCTTAAATCAATATTTGTAAAGTAACGTGAACAGAAGGAGATAAAGTCACTATATCTACAATGGCAAGATATGGTTCATAGGAAAACAAAAATCTAAGGGTGGATCTTGGCAAAATTTTGTTTTTTTACATTTTTTTACTGTCTTTGACTTCTAGAAACTTATATGGCAAGATAAGTGGTCAAAATCACAGCACTATATTTAATCAGTAACTAAAAACAAAATCATAAACAGTACCTCAAAAATAGAATCTTCACAGAAATTTACAAAACTCTCAAGTTTTTCCTTGTCTCCACCTTCATTAACAACACTGTGTAAAAACGAACGCTTTGACTCCTGCAAAAAAAAAACAGTTTGACATCAGAGCGAACCACAGCTATTTTGATTGTTAATGTCCTTTTCTCTTATCATAAATAACAAAATAAAAAAAGTAATACAGTTACCTTAATTTGTGGTTTTTCCCATTGATCAATATGGGACTGAGTAATTTCAAAGTAAACTCTTTCAATACGATTAGCACTACCCATAATCTCAATTCTTCCCAAGTAGGGTTCAAAATAGTCCAGTACACTTTTGGCTTTTTCAAGGAGTCGACCCAATCTGAAATAAAAAACGCCTTTTAATATGTGGTCAACAATAATAAAATTCAATATGAAATGCTGCCTAGTTTGGTCATTGGTGTACTCAATTGGGCAAAATTTTCTTTTCCTTAACTTAACGTGTTTTAGCATCTTGCCCCATTAAAGTTGTGCCATGAGAATTTTACAACATGATTTGGCTTGGGCAATTTTAATTCAATGCTTAAATGGAAATAACTCTCAAATTGTAATTCAAGAAACGGAGTCTATATTCACTAATCAATGCTAATAGATTCTCATTCTTACCGAGGTTCATTAGGCATATGTTCTGATAAATTAGTTAATAATACAGCCATAGTAAAACCAATGTCTTTAGCTGGGTTGTGGAATCGGTCAGTAAACTCATGGAAATCTACTTTACCATCATGATTGGCATCTACACACATCATGATATACTGGATCTCTTCTCTGTAATCAGAATTTTATAGCTAGTATAACCAAGTTTATTCATGTATAAAACAATAACAAAATCTATTAGAGAGCAGTGCTATTCAAAATTAGAATTATGTGTATTTAAATAAATTTCTTTCCTGGCCTAAAACTTAAAAAATTAAGAATACATGCTCTTTATTAGAAAAGAAGTTAATAAAACATTACAAATCATAAACAGTTAATTGAAAATTAGAAAGCAACTTAAAAGCAAATTTTCAGAAATAATTATTTGAAGGGAATGATTTAGAAAGCTTCTAGACTTGTTATGCATTAAAAGTAATGAATATTTGGTTTAAATGGGTAATATGGGATTGTTTTATAGCTGAGTTTGAGCAAATACAGTATAGAGGATGAAACCAGCAATGAACGTTATGTTGGTTTTAAATTAAGGGAGTATATGGATGTTTCAATAACTTGTCACTTCAGCAAATCAATCGAAAAATAATTGGAATGAATCAAAACTCAGGTGTGCACACTTTCATGCCATGCAGGACTTACTCTGTGTACACTTTTTGGGACTCCATTGCCTTACGGAATTCCTTATGTGAAATCCAACCATCTTGATTTGTATCAAATTCCTATTGTTTTAAAGATGAAAAATATTCATTTAAATAGCCACTACATATAACAAAACCCTCTGTTTTCTCAAAATGCTTCATAAAAACTCGAAAAAGACATTGGAATGTTTTGAATTTCAATTCTTAGAGTAAATTGGACATTACCTTTTATTACTATTAGTAAAGAAAATCAGATCAGCATTTTGAGAATACAAGAAGGGAAAATTAAATCAATATAAAAACCAACCTAGAATATATTTTCTGAGCTTCCATAGCCCGACGGAATTCTTTATCTGATATATAACCGTCCTGGTTTGTATCAAATTCCTATAATTTTTTATAAAACATAAGATAAAATATGTAAGATATACTCATTTCACCACATGGTGTTAACAAATAAAATAATCATTTGAATTAAATAGAATATGTATTAAGTAATATAATAATTAAATGTTAATTTTACCAGGAAGGCCTCAGATGATGTCAGATCTTTCATTTTCAGGAAAATATCAAAGAATTTCAGGATCATCTATAAGAAATACAATTTTAAGTTTAAATATTGTGATTGAGAGTTAACATTGTTCAATTAGACTGCAATTTTTAATATATTTGATAAATAATTGTACAACAATATAACTTTCAAAAACAATTTGGCATAATAATAACAAAATTACCTTTTATTGTGGTTGAAAAAGTTGGAAGTTGAAAGTTGAAAGCTCATTCCATTTCATTAAAATATTAAATTAATTATGGAATAAAATATTTATTTACCTCAACATTAGATGATGATTCAACCAATGTGTCCACCATCTGTTTTCCAATAGGTCCATTCATTACATTACCTAGCAAAAAAACATGCACAAGTTTTCATAACAAAATATCATAGACAGGCTCTAGCCTTACACTTCATAAACCACCATTAAACCATATTTTAGTTTGCTTTTGGTTAAACAACATTACACATATGCCCACAGAGTAGAGATTCCCATCATCACAGAGTACAGAAAGATAACAATCTGTAATACAAAAATTACCTTCCAACATAGAGAGTAACATTATCATCATTTCTTTCTGCAGCTCCATAAACTCTCTCAATAAATCTAGTTGATCAGGGTCTTTAGATAATTTATCTTGCATGTGGGCAAATATATAGATAAATCCACCAACAGCATCCCATAACCTACTGTGAGCTAATGCCAGTTGATTTAATGAACAAGGACCCTTGAAAGATAACAGACGGTTTACAAATACAAAGAAACAAGACTGATATTGAACAAATAAGAAAGCCTTATGTCTGCACGAATCCATGGAATTAACAGCTTTATCAATGTTCTTTAACACTCGCTATGAAGAAAGTATAATAAAGTGGTTTCACTTTCTGATAATCAGTCTTTTCAAGATATTTAATATGAGCAGCCTTAAACTAAGACTGGAGACTAACCTGGATATATTCAGACAATGAGCAGAAGACTTGTTTAGCCACCATACTGGCACGGCAGAAATGATCTTTACCAGATACATCAATTACATCTTTACCAGAATAATGCCAGTAAAAATCCATCATAGATTCCTATAATATAAAAACAAAGCAGTATTTATCTTCTTTTATCCTCTTGGTAACATTTTCACTTATAATTCTATTAAATAGTTATGGATTCTGCATATACAAAATCTTTTAACACGATCCTAATCATTTTGACTGAAAATTTTTTTTTTAATTTCAGCACATGAGATAATTAGATATAATTTCTATTTTATTCATCAATCAACGATTATCTTAAGAATTTAGGAAGTCTAGTCTATTGTTCTAGTTTTAAAATTAAATAATTTACCTGTAATCTGAGTAAATAATCAACTGTACAAATAACAACATTAACAGTTACTGTATTACCAGCTTGTGTTCTTAGATAGTTCTGGAACTCTGTAATAAAGAAATAAAAGGCTCATAAACTATGACATGATGGATTCTACTTTGAGGTAGTAAAATAAATAATTTTGATAAATCAAACATAAACAAAATAGAAGATTTAAGATATATGATAAACAAAACTTGATCTTACCTAGATTATGACCTTCACACATGAGTTGTAAAAATCGGAATATTTTACATGTAAATTCACCATCATGTAAGTTTTGGTCAGTAGAACCAGTATCAGTACTCATTCCTAATCCTTCAGCTTTATTGGTCCTTTCAAATGCATCCAAATCTAATACACTACAAGGGAACATTAATCAGCTAATATAAAATAAAGCACCATATAGTATTTGTATTCTCAATTGATACAATCCACAAATTCCTTAGAAATTGGAACAAAAATTTCTTCTGCATACGTACATGAATACCTTAAGTTAAGGCTAGAAATATGTATATTTTGCAATTAAACATTGGTAGGGTCTGTCAAAATTTAACTTACCTGCACTTCTCAAGCAATCCAGCAATTGATGAAAAGAATCCAACATCCTTTTTATCCTTCAAATGTCTCAACATTCTCTGTAACATATCATGATAATAATTAAAAATTTAGTTGAAGATAGAGGGTGCTGTCTTATTGTGTTTCTACTTATTTTCAAAGTTATATAATAACTGTTTTCAATTTACAAACAAATTAAATTGTCAACAAATTTTTTTTTATTGTCATGGTTCTCAAAAAAAAAAAACTTGAAATATTTTTATTATATATTTATTATGCAATAACTTATATTGACTAGTAATGTACATACCTTTTGTACTTCTATATTACCACCACGTAATAATGAAATACCTAAATCTATTGTATTCTCAACCATCATATTAAACTCTCCTATAAAATACATCATTTAATGTTTTGAACAGATATAATTTGTCAATATTTCAGTCATTCAAGAATCTTTATTCGCTGATAAAAAAAGTTTAAAATTGTTCTTCAATGTGTGTGGTAAAGACATTTTTCTTATATTATTATTTTTGAATATTGGATATTTCCAGTTTAGAAAAAGTATGAATAAAATATATCATGGTTTCATTACCTCTACTAGCACTGATATACAATAAAACCATTTCAGCTGCACCCCGATCAGACAGTCGAGATTGTTCTGATAATAATTGTTGTTTCTCCATCTCTTGTTCCTGAAATATTCATATTTAATTACTTAATTAACCTCAGAAAAACTCATTCTTTAAATATGTCCCTTAGACTACACTTAAGGATTTTAAATGTTTAAAGCAAGTGAGAAATAGGTTTCTTCAATATACCAAATAATATATTTCTTAAACATAATCTATATGGCTAATAGCTGATGTCCATAGTTTCGATCCCAGAAGCTTGTATTATAAAGTATGCTAAGTTATATATTTTTTTTGATCTCTGTTTTCTTCAGACAGTACACTGAACTACAAACATTATGAACTATGCTTAGTAAGTATACCAGTTTGAACGACACAAGAAACATTAAATTGTCACATTTTCTCACTGAAAAATACATAATTCTTGAAAGTTTGCAGGATTATTAACAGAGGGAAAGCATACTACATCATGCAGGATGAACTAACATTATATATTATACATGATATATGAGGTACCAAATATATATATATATATATACAATTCCAAACCCGAATCAAAATATTACCATTTTAGTCAGCAATGCTAAGCCATTCTCCTTTTTTACAGAAATTACAATTTGTATTCGGTTTTCTGATGAAGTAATTACAATAATGCAAATTACTGTATTATTACCAAAATTAAAGATTATCTGTGTGATCTGGATCTCCTAAATTGTCTACAAGGGTGCTATCTGAACTGCTATTAAAACCAGAATTTAGCTTGACACTGATTTTAAAGCCTTCCTAAAGTCAAATTGAAATGAAAACGTTCATATACTTATAAACTTCCAGTTACAAAGTAGAAACTGTACATAACACTGTGTCAATCTAAATATAACATGCATTATTCAGTTTAATCATTATGTTTAGAAGTGCCTACAACCATATAATTACTATTAGTATTCTAGTAGCTTCTCTATCTAACTTGTGTGTGATGTCTATTATAAGTGGTCACAAGAAATACATGAAACAACTAAATAAGTACATGTTTACTAAAGGAACAATATGATAACATATGAGACATGAGACTGTTTCAATACCTTTATCATTTCCCATTTAATCTGAGAGTTGGAGATAACAAAAGACAAAGAAACATAATGCAAAAAATATTAAATTTAAAGCAATTGTCCATTTAGGGCCAGATTACATGGCACAGCATTGGTCATTCACAAACTCTGTTAGCATGAAAGAAAACTGAATCTAGTGAACACAAGTTAGTATAAAAGCATTTCAAACTGGTAAAAAAAATGAATTTCCACCACCTTAGATTTGTTAATAAAAACAGACAACATCCAGAGATATGAATGTAAAATATGTAAAATACCTCAATGGACGGTCCAGCGCCTTCTTCACCTCCTTCTCCTCCTTCTTCTTCCTCTTCTTCTTCACGACAACTCTATAATGACATAAATCAGTTATCCTTTCTTCATAATAAACTCTACCAATTGATGAAGTGTGTGTGTGACTGTATGAGTGTGTTAATAACTTAATGTACAACATACGTAAAATATCAAGCCATAAAGCAATTTTAAAGTCTCCTCTTGACGCTCTAGAATTCATGTGTTATTTGTAACGAACTATGGAACCTTGATCCAATGATTTGTAACATACATACTTGACTCATTATAGAAGCATAAGACATAAAGAGAGGATCTTCTGGTAAACTACTTTGTTGTTCTTTAGTAGCAGCACGACTTAGAGCAGTTATTAATTGAGTTAAAGAATCTGGTTTACATTCTTCTTCAGTTTCATTCTTCTCTCCTTCTTCAACTGTCTCATCTCCTTTCTAAAATAGTTAAGCAGCAACTTAATATGATACAGTATATACTTATTGTTCTGTCTTCATTAGACCAGAATAATAAGACCTAAACCTCCATTCATTTCATTTAATATTTTATTCATAATACAGTAATCTTTATGAATTCAAATGACTATTCAAATTAATCACTTTTCATTTCAAGTTCCATTAAAGAAGAAATATATCCTATGATATACTTACTGTTAAGTCTTGAATTAATATAGTTTTATCTAATTCCTCTGTTTCTAACCACATCTCTCTATAAGCTTTCAAAAATAAGTTAATAGCTCGATGTCTAAAAAATAAAAGTAGTATGAAATTATCTAAATAATCAAATTATCCATGATTTCTGAAGAGACTTTAAATCTGCTATGTGTCTGTTACGTTCAGACAAGATACCCAATGACCTTAATATAGCTCTAAAAACATTCTAAAATGCTCTTAGATCAATATTGGAGGAGATCATATGCAATATTTGTACAGCCTAATCAAACCTGACCCACCTTGGTAAACTATGTAATGGGATCATTCTGAAACAAGCCATTACAGCTCTCTTTCTCTGGGTTGATATTAATTTCTTCCATGCACTCCTTTGAGCCAATGAAGGGTGTTCCACCTGTTTGCAAAAAAGAAATTAAGTAAGAACATAAGCAATCACTTAATATATTGCAAGTGCAATTAACAATGATAGATTGTCTTGTTTTGGTCAATCCTGGAATTTATGTTTAAATACTAATAATGTAGAACCATCATTGTCTAGAATGGTATAAGTTGATTTCAGAACAATTACACAATGTTTCTACATATAATAAGGCTTGGACAATTGGGTTAATCCACATTATTAATACAGTTTGATGTCAAGATATCACAGCATGTCGAAGACAACTCTTATTATTACTTACCAGATGTAAACCATGCATGACTTTAGCCATTGAAATAATTCTATCAATAACTTTACTCTGATCTAGTTGAGCTGTGGATGTTTTAGTATCACCTATCTTCTTATATAAAACTTTTTGCCATTGAACTTTATCATCAATTGGCTGAAAACGAAAACATGAGTAAGTGAATAATGACAGGAAAGTGACAGCCATTGTATCTATATTTTTATAGCGCTGGATAACTAGGAGTTACTCTGGAATGTGATATCAATAGCCTAAATTGAACTGTATAAGCTGCCATATTCCTCATAATTTCAACAAGAAGCAAATTCTTTATTATTGTTTTAAAATCAATATAACAACTGAAAATAAGAAAATAAATATAACTTACTCCTTCATCAGTTTCTAAACTTCTCAATAAAAATTCTTCAATGTCTCCTTCTGGATCCTGAAAATGAAACCACAAAATCTTTATTAGCTTAATAACTTAACACCAGCATACCACTGTCTGAATATCAAAAACATTCGAAATACTTCCAATAAAATGAATAAAGAGATTCAGGTTAATATTAATGCATATTAAACCAGCAATTCTATTAGAATCTTAGGTAATAAGTCATTAGGTGACTAGTGAAAGATCTAAAAAAAAAATTCATCAGATATTATCCTTAACTTCAATTATAAATTTCAATATATACAACTAAAAACAAACTATAAACTGATAACAAAATAAAACTTATACAATACATAAATGTATTCTAAAAATTGTATGAAAAATAGAGCAAAATGATAACTATAAAATTGCTTAAGATAATTTTGTGTGCAAATCAATATTCTACTCAGAATATAAAACTTATACAATGTATACAACTACAAAAAGTGATAGAAGTAAATATACATTAATATATTAAAATAATATAAACATTCAGATTAAGACTAATATATATTAAATATAAATAAATAGTATTTATAGAAATAAAAGTATTGGTAATAAAAATCTTTATGTGCTAAAAAACAAAATGTGCTTGGAACATTGAATTTATCAATTGACATGAAAGAAGCACTTAGAACGGGAGAAATGTTAGTTACCCTTCCTTGAGGATTCTTAGCCCAAATTTTAGCTTTGTAATTCTGAAAAGAGGTTTACAAGAAACTGCTAACAAGTTAAAGACTAGCAGAAGATGATAGAATGAGCTAGTTTGAAGGTTTGAATGTTAATACAGAGACATTAGGTGAATAAAACAAATTATTCAATTTGACATGTATCTCCAAGACTGGATAAAGTGTGACCACAACATCATGTCAGATATCTGTAGCATCAAGTTTAGGATACATGCAATGTCACACAAAATCCAGTCTTTCTCACAGTCATTCCACCTGTTAGTAAAATGAAAATTGTTCATGCTTGAGACTAATCTAATCTAGTAACAATCCCTGCTGTTAAAATAAATTGTGTTAAATAAGTGTCTAAATTAAAAATAAACAGCTAACAATATACTAACTTGTAGAAGTTTCTGTTTGGCCTGTTGTAATAATTCTTGTTCTCTACCAGAGAAGAAACTCAAACCAATCGGTACCAAACGCTTCAGACAGGCCACATTTAATGAGTTATGTGGTTCAAGTCTCTTCTTTCCTTGACGTTTCTGACCAGGTTTCATTTTAGTTGTAGGTGATTCCTCTGAAGTGTCAACTTTAGCAACAGATAAATGTTTGGCTTGACTTGGCATGATAAGAGCCATGTTGTCTATTTCATTTAAGGCCACAAAGTTCTGTTCCTCTCTTTTAAATAGCTGCAAGAGAATAAATTGATTGGTTGATAAATGCTATCCCAAGTAAGTAGTGTTTTCAGGCAGCACTATAAGAATTGCATTAAATTTGATTTAAGATCAGTCAACTCAAACAATGTATATTATACTTACCAATGATTTGGACCACATTGAGAATATATCAGCAACACATGTAAACAGTTCTTCAGCTTCAGCAGCAGGATATTTCAACCAATGTGAACGATGTAAATCAACATATTTAATCAGCAGAGGAAAGTAAGCATAAATATCTCTCACTAGTATACCATATCTCTATAAACAAAAAATAACAAAATAACATTATAAGTTATGTTAGCTGATAAAGATAAATGATACAAGATCCTTTTTTTTTTTCGAAGATTGTTAAGGCCAATCATAATAATGTTTGCCGTTGTGAAATTATGAAAACAAATATAAGTAAAGCTTCAATGAAATTAAGTGTTCAATACTGCTGAAAAACCTATGCTTTCTCACCAATACACCATTTTATTCAAGAAATCCAAAAGAGATACTATTCATAAAGAGAGAGAGAAATGCTTGTACTTACATCTTGAACAGCAGCTTCCATATCTGAAATATCAGTAGATGTTCTTTTATCAACAGCTAATCTTTTCTCTAAACTTTCTACCAGCACTGCATGTTCACATAATTTCTTAGCTATAGGTAGGAAGTGATCTTTAATCATATCTGGTGTAGAATTTGATATGATTGGTTGAGTTCGAGCTACAATTAAAAAAGATTATATTAAACACTTTTTCTTCCATTAACATGTCACTGACTAATAACACTATATCTTGGAAATAATAGTAAGTTCATACTTCTAAAACCCTGTACTTGAATGTTAACCCTATCAACAAGACTATCTGTACTGATTTAAATTTTCATATACATAAGTATGAGCTGAATTGTTGTCAACACAAAGCTATTTTCCAACCAACTTACCAGCAATTCTGTTCATCCATGGTGCATCAACAGATCCAATATTATTCAGAATTAACTTGAGAACATTTCCAAGCACATTATTCATTTGTTGACCAGTTACTGACGAGATATGATGACCACTGAATAAAACAAACAAAATAATAGTCATATACCTTGACTATACATAATAAAAAATAATTACTTACAAAAAATATAAGCTACATTGACTCTTTAAAATATTTTCATGCATTTTGAAAGAGTAATTACACCAAAACCATACAAAAATAACTTACCCTTCTGGTCGTGAGATGCAATCAGGTCCTTTGGTTAACCACACTGGTAAATAACTAGAAAAAAAATACATTTTTCATTTACAATTCCTGAGTTGTTTGTTGATAAACATTACTTTTCTTATAGTCTTTACATCAAATAAATAACAATTATAATTCAGACAAGTCATGTGCATATTGATTCTTTGACTATGAAAAAAGTAAAAAGGTCAATTTCATCGTTATTCTCAAAGTTGATTTGAAAAATGGCTTTTGGCAAATAAAATTCTTTATATACAAATGTATCACAGTTATTCATTTCAGAAGCAAAATCCAACCTGCAAACCATGGGTAGAGTTACTTCAATAACATGTGGAGCTTCATGATATTTTCCTCCAGAGTCTGCCAAGCCTTCTATTTCAGCCACAATCTTATTTAAGGTGGGTAGATTTACAGCTAGCATATCCATAACCTCTGTGGATAGAAGAAGTATAACATTAAAAACAACTTTCAGGCAGAAATTCAGATACTCTTTCAAATGAAAAATAATGAAGATATCCACATTACCTTGAGCTTCTAAAGAATGTTCAGAAATCTTTCCTTCAATACCATAGAGAATTGAGTTCTTATTATATTTATTCAAATCTGGTTCTAGGAAAGCCACTGGGAAACAGGATGCAAAGGAACCAACACATTCTCCTAAAGCTGGTCGATGTCTGAAATATTACAAAATATATGAATGAGTTTAAATTACGAGTTAAAAAAGAAAAGTATCCATGCAGAAATCATATACCTTTACAAGGTACATATAGGGTAGAATAAGAAAATATTTCCTGCGGCTGTGACTTACAATGGAGATAATTGGTGCATATTAGCATTCTTTTAGTATTGAAATGAGTGTTAGAGGGAGAAAACTTATCTTATTTTGTTTTAAATATAAACTTCCTTAAACAAACAATAACATGATTTACTATACAAGATTTAATCCTATGAATATTTTCCTTGTTGAACAATTTTTACTATTTCTTCATAATAGATCTCTATATAAATATTTCTATATCGCTCTACAACTGACGTATTGAGCACTATTTTAATAGTTAAAATTATTTGTTGTTGTAACTTTCATTCAATGCAGATTAAAGTGTATTTTGTTGAATGGACACTTTCAATTGGATCAAGTATCCTCCAAACTATTAACAGTAACGCGCACGAAACTGACAAGAAAACATCATATAGTAGACTATACATCAGTGCAAGAATAATAACAACACAGGGAAGGTATATCACCATAAAATGGTTAAAGCAAACCAAATTAGATTAAAACAAAACTTGATAACACAATTAAAAAAAAACTTGAAAACACAAAAGTCTTCAAAACATGTTAAAAAGATTGAAACAAAACTATCTTTACACAATAAAGGACAATGAATTCTGTATTAATCATCTAAAAAAGAAAATCATGTTTAACACAGATGTTACAGTTGATATCAACAAGGAAAAAAGGGCAAAAGAAAACAAAACAAAAAGCATGCAAGAAAAGACAAATCTGAAGAAGAAAGTACCTTGCAAGTTCAGCCTCAATAGTTTCCCTATACAGACAGGTACAGAAAGAAAAGAAAACAAAATATCAGTTTCCAAATACCAGTTGATAATAAGCACATATTTCTTATTGCACAAATCATTTGATTTTACCAGCGTATGTTTAATCCATATATTAATCTTCTCTCAAATAAAGTTAGTATTGTAAATTGTCTTTAACAATATTATAATGTACATTTACAATATTTCAAATTTTGAAGTGCTTGAAAATATGATGAAAATAAAAAGAAAACAATAGAAGAGAGAAGACAGAGAGATAATACTTTTATTACAATAAATTCTAGGCTTTTTTGCAGGTCATGTACAAGGTATAGAATATGCGTACAGGCCAAAGGCCTGTTGGGGGTCAGGCTGGATTGCCAGAAAATATTGAAGGGTTGAGATGCTTCCGCGAAGATGTGATTTTTCTATGTTTTTGGGTTGTTTCTCGAATTTTTTGGGGAATTTTCTTTCAGAACTGTAATATTTTTAGAATACCTGAAAACACTATGTATCTGCCTGAGGTTTGTCTGTCCTCTTGATGTTCCCCTCCCCCCACCCCACCCCACGTCTACATGCCTACATACCATTCAATTTCATCATCAATGTCAAACGCGGTTATGTAAATATTCAATATATAAACAAAAACACATAGTCAGGATTAAAGAGAAGACAACTGACTGATATTGATACAGATAACTCTATAGACAACAGCTGTAGTGCAGTAAAGATTGACTATAACAATACATTAGAAAGCTGTGTATAGGAGCATATAAATCAATGATAGTAGACTGATACAAGAGAATTACAATATAAAAAATAACTGTACCTTTGAGGGAATGATGAACTGCTGGTACCCAATGTAAATAAGGCATTTAATATTCGATAGCAGGCTAACTGTATATCACCAACTGAAAAATTCATACAAAAAGTTTTGTCCATATGTCATAATGAAATTGTACTAAGTGTTTCAGAAGAGTCTGAATATAGTATATTTTACTGTGTATTAAAGATATTTCAACTTGAAAAAAATGTCAATTGATAGCAATGATTTGCATGGATGGCAATTCTGATTTCTTCAGTTTCCATTAGATTAGTTAATTAAATGAAAAAAATACCTATAATATCAAAACCAAAGTCATTGTTTCCAAAGTGATCCAATATGGCTGACATAACAGGAAGTAGCACCATGTGAACATAATTCAAACTTGTAGCACCACGAGTAATTGTTCCTTTCACATGGCTAAATCTTCCTTTCTGTAAGTTCTCCATAATCTGAGCTAAATCATCAGCAGCATTGTTGAAAAATGGTAAGATGGAGGATCTGACAATTTCAGGACTGTTCTTTACTACTGATCTGTAATTTATGGTAACATGATAATCCAGATACATAATTCTCAAAGATGTGATAGAATAGATAGCTAAAGACAGTGAAAAACCTTAGTTTATAATTTGGTTCCCATTAAATATTGCATCATATCAAGACAACTAGTGACAATACCTTAATCAAAGTAAAATATAACTTACCTAAAGTCCACAGCTTGAACCAAAACTCTCAAACATCTAACTGAGATGTTCACATCATGACCAAAAGCTGTGATTTTAGATCTCAAAGTCTGGGCGAGCTTACAGAATAAACTGAAAAACAGAAGATGTAGATTAGTTATATTGAGAAATAAGATATGGACATTATATGGTGATCTTTTAACTATTTCATTTAGAAAAGTCCACCTATCAATATTAGAAATATTTAATGTTGAGAACAGGTTTACCAACTAACAGTTGATAGATTATTTTGTCATTTTCATACACTTTTCAAATTAATTTTCAAAACAGTTGTTTTACCTGGCGGTCATTTCTTTCTCTTTAAATGAAGCTGAACCAGAGGCTGCTTGTGGAGTATGAGGTGCTGAGATAAAATATATTCTATGAGCATGGAAATATCTCTCAACAAATGGCAGAACAACCTAAAATATAGAAAATTATACACATTTCTTAATTTTCAAACAAGCAAACCTAATATGTACTTATACAAATTTATATCAATTAGCCAAGTTCAATAAGCTGAAAAATCAATGATGTAGACAAACTTGAGTTTAGACCAGTAGCTACACAAGATCATTGAATATAAATGTATGGTATGAAAGAGAACAATTACCTTGCCAAAGAACTTGACATCTTCAGTAGCAACATTATAACTTTCTCTTCTGCTAAATCTACTACTAGGTTGTATCTGTTGAAGATTCACGGAGGCTTTCTCTAAATACTCCAACAATTTCTCTAGTAAACTGTAGGCAAATCTCCTTTCTGTAGCAGACACACCAACTCCACTGTCGGCTTCTGATTCGCGACTGTTTCTGGAATTAGACTCGCGTTTAGGATCGATGGGTAGATCACCACTGAATAAACCAATTGGAACAATGGAAGCAACACCAACACCAATACAATTATTAGGTAAAAAAGAAAAGAAAGAACAAAATAAGCATAAAAAATCATAAAAAATAAAATTTGTGATTTTCAAAAATGTGTGCCTTAAGAAATATGTGAACTTTCTTGCAGCAGAAAATCCAAAAATTCAATTTGAATGTCATAATTTAATCAAAAGTGCTTTTGTCAAAAAAATGTAAAAAAAAATGATTAAGTAGCATATAAAGCAGTGGTGCAGAATGAAGTGCCTTAGCTGATTTTCTTGAAAATTTGTCAAAAGTTTTTTGAAATCTTGTACATATGTCTCTTTACAAATTAGCTCATCATTATAAAATTTTGTTATCCTTTTCAAAAAGGAAATTTGCTTTGTATATAATATAGCGAGTTTGAGGTGCTTTATTCATTACTGAATAATCAAGAGCGCTGTAAAATTCAGAAATAGTTCAGCAGAAAACAGTGAGTACAGACACACATTGATGAAACTCATCTATCAAAATACAGTAAAAAAATTTAATGTACACAGATACCAATAACTTACAGATTTTGATAAATGTAAAACCCATCTAATGAGTTTTTATCATCATGATAAAATTCATAACTAAAAATATAGAAAACAATTGTAAAACCATCACCACAAATCATATCAACTGGTAACGGCACCAAAGTAACAAAATGGTGAAACCACTGAATAACATTACCAAAAGTAAACCATTTACATACTTGAAGGTATTCAATATACAGAAGAAAACTAAAGTACATGTTGAATAAGGTGACAGACTTCATTCCACAATATAAACTAAACTAAAATAATCCCAACCAATCATACCTGCTGATTCTGTAACCCAGGAATTGTAAGAATTTCAAAGCTTCTTGAGCATGCTCTCTGTATTTTCTCTTCTCTGTATCAGTTAAAATATCATATGGTACTAGTTGAGGATGAACACCACCACCTTCAGATTATAAAATAAGTTCATGTTTTTGATTAAAATTATACCTATTGTTGCTTTTCTACACACTTTATAAAATTCATTTACTGCAATGTGTCTCTTCAGGAATTTATTGTAAAAAAATATTGAAATCTTACCAATGCTATCCAATTCAACTTTCTTCTTGAAAGCCCATAAATCATGAGCATTTTCAGATAAACGTTCAGCCATGGTCTAAATTAAACCAATAATACATTTCAAGATATATTCATTTGTCAGTATTAGACAAATAAAAATATTAGACATGGGAATAAGACCTTAATAGATTTATCACATTCAACAACAGTGAAAACTTGTGGGCTTATCATCTTTCATACTTGACAGTATCAATAAGAATTAGTGCTGTTATGGATAGCAACAGAATACTTTAATAGGAGTTCATGGTTTTCCAAAAAAGAAAATAGAAACATTTAAACAAATAAATTTTTGGGACGGTTATTACTCTAGTGCCATGAGCAGTGAGACAGCAGTATCCGTTTTGAATAATCACCAAAGAAATGATGGCATTATTGATTGATATATTGAATCGTGTGTGTGGGCATTTCCTGTCCTTAGCAATCAATAATATTGAACATACATGGGCCCTTTTCAAATAATTTTACAAAACCTTTCTATACAAATAAATTAGAGGAAAAGATCATGACCATATTTTCTAGAGAAAACCTTGTAATACACCCTATAATTACAAATATTATAAATATGGAAAATTCTCTGTTACCGAAAATAATAGACACCCCCTCTGGATGAAAAAAATTAGTTGGCATAATGCAGACACAATTATAACAAGTGATAATATTTTATATTCCACAGCATCACCTTACTTAGGCCTATATGTAATTCTTTGTTCAGTAAAAATATCTGAGATCTAAATGTATTTAGTCCTTACCTGCATTTCTCTAGTAAGGGTCATATTTCTCAGATCATAAGGTTTAGGACTGTAACCATGATCATGCTGTAAACATATAAATAAAATAGTTAGAAACATTTCTAATGATATCAAAGATGAAATTATTTAAGTATCAACAGTTTTAATGAAGCTGATAAAACAAAACTCCATGCAGGACCAAACGACTAAGCTCTAAATCAAATAATTTAGTAAGAACAAAGTAACTAAGCATCAAATCAATTTAGAATAAGCGCATTTATTATCTTTAAGCTGCTCAGAAATTTTGAAATTGAAGTCTAGACTCTAATAAAGAGTTTGTATATTGAGAATCAGATAATGTAGACCTGTTTATGAAGATTTAAAAACAATCCAAAGCTTTAGTCGTGTGAATTCATCTACCAAGTCAAATACATTATAGAAATTCCTCATAAACAAGTCAACCTTCCTGATTATCATCTGGCTAACTACTATCATAAATAATTGTCAGAGAACAGATAAAAGTATTCATGTTTCAGACCAGTATCATCTTGGCATTAAAAATTGTTAACATCATCTACGCAATAGCTTGTTTCAAAGCCAATCTTCAAAAATATTTTGTAAAATATCTACATCTAGTCAATACAAGCAGGAAAACACTCAGGGCATTTCCATCCAAAAATAATGTACAAAGGTCTGGATACCAGTTCCCTAGTAATGCAGAATATAAACAAATAAAGTTTATCAAGCAAATTCAATTCTAAATTAAAAAAAACGTAATAAATAATTTTAAAAGTGCATAAACTTGAACATAAATTTGTAGATAAATCTTAAAATATATAAGCCTTGTCCCAACAACCTTGAGTACATATACTTTCAGTGGACCATCCCTTACCACATTTGCCTTGGAGGCTCTTCGTTTGATACTATCTCTGTTGGTAGAGAATCGAGACTGGTCTTGTTCTAATGTCCAACCCCATGCTATCATTGCTTTTAATGTTTCTTTCATTGGTGTAGTATATTTAGATTTCACCTGTAAAACATAGATAAAAATAAACAACATTAAGAGATTGAGATCACACTGTTTAACGACTATTTTGTAACATAAACAGGAGGCTAAAAAAATGAATAGTTTGTAACAGAACTGTATTCTACTCCAACAAAAAGAAGTTCTTGTGATTAATGTAGCATTTTTAGCCAAACTCATTGTTCCTTTAAAAACTTTTCTAAAGAAGATTTTACAGATACAAATTACATTCAATATAACTCTCTTTTGATAAAATAAATTTCACATCTTACCCTTTCATCAAGTAGATTGTATGGTTTTAATATAGGGTGTGTCTTCTTTTCTTCATCAAATCTACTTCCAAATATCCAACCACTTTCAATCTACAAAGAAAAATAAAAGGGTGATCAGAAACAATGGCTTTTACCGTTCATGTTTTAATATTAAGGACAAATGATTCTTTAATGCTGATTTATCTCAATGGAATATCAGCTCTCAATTACAAAATGGAGGAATGTCAATAATTCAAATTTGTTTTGTCACTGTCTATAATGTGTAACACCAGCTTTGCAAGTTTTTTTTTAGTGATAAAAAATGTGCACTATACAGGCAAATAATTTTATCATAACATTAACAGTGTAACCATATAAATGATTTACCTTTTTCAAAGCCCAGGAATCATGGAAATGTTCAGCAAACTTTGATGTTGTATTTTCAAGTTGTTGGTTTAAGTTGACTCTACAACAATAAAACAACAGAAATTCAAAACTTATACTGAATTAAAATGCATAATATAATGAATGAACATTTCTTTAATTTTTATAGAAACTGCAGAAAGCAAGATTAAGGTATGAAGATTTTTATAAATTTACAAGTTAAGTAGTTGGTGCACGATGGCATGAGTCAGAGTTCAAGGTATAATAATAAATTACCTGGTAGTAGTAACAGGTTGTGGAGTATAAGTACCGTCAATATCTACACTAGACTGTCCATACCAACTATCAGCATTATGACTTAATGTATAGTCTGGTGACAAGGCACAACCGATAGCTGATAAACATGGTAGAGCTTTAGAGAATAACTCAGGGTCATATGCCTAAAAATAAACATAGATTTATATCAATAATACAAGCCAAAAAACTTATATAACATATCCAAAATGGAATATTTGTATCAGAATCATAGTCATGTCCAAAGACACAAACTTAAAACTGGAAAAGCAAGATTCTTATGATTCACGTTGCCAAGCATACTCTTCTCTTTCACTAAAACTAAAAGATTCTTCAATTCATAGCAGTAAATAGAAAAAGGATATTTACCCTTTTAGCGAGAGAATCAAACATTCCACTGAATAACATCATAGTTAATCGTTTCTCTTCTTCACTAGCTGAACCATGTGATCCCCAACCTCCACCACTACCATAATATCTACCACATCTCTCATAGTGATATGTTAACAACTAAAAAAATATAGAGAAAATTTCAATCTTCAACAAACAAAATCATTGTAAAAGCAAGAAAATATTATTGATCCCATTTAGAAATCGATCAATTTTAAACTTAAAACTAATATCAATAACAATAATAATAACAACAGATTTGTCTGAATAAAAATTACTATCATAAGTCTAGATTTTCAGCAGTTTGGACAATGTATCTCAAGTCAGTATGCTGATAAAGAACCAGTATCAAACTTACTCTGAGTGGTACTACAGCATGTTCTGATAAAGCTGGTACATCAATTGTTAGTTTCTTTAATAGGCGTGTCATCAATGGTGGACGTAATTGTCTGTGAAAAAAAAAATTGAAGGTTACAGAGTAGTACTATAAAAGATAGAAAAGATGCAAAACATAGGGTGATTTTATTTATCTAACAGATTAATGGTTTATCAAATGAATTCGCATCTAACAAATGATCAAAATCATCTAAAATGTGATAAGAAAATAATAAACTTACTGGGTAAAAGAAACCAAGAAGTCGCTGACTGTTTCTTGTTGATTTTTAGTCAATGTACGACATTTAGACAGTCTATATACTGTATGTAATGTAGAATCTAGTAATGGTGAGGCATGGTCAGCATTGTTAAAATACTGACTATTATCTTTTAATAATGGTAATACTGAGGTACATAGATATCTATTTAGAGCTAATGCCATATCACTCTCACTGGCTGCAGCCTGTAATACACAAGAGAATATGTTTTAATAAGCTAACTGTACCAGAATGTTATCATGTTACAAAACATCATCCTCTCCTCAACACGCAAGATGAGCATGCTACTTGTGAAATTGTGGGTATGTATGGGTATGTCTTATATTTACATGTTTGACATACTGTTCCATATACTAATATATATAACAATTCTTCATGTCACTATCACATTGCATTGTGTAAATACCCTTTAAATAACAATGCAGACTACTTATTAGTTAAGGAATTTAGTGAGTCTACAATAGATAAAAAGAGCAGATTAAAAGACTCACTGTATCAAGAGTTGTAGCAGCACGAAGATCAGGTAAGAAGGAATCTTCCAATAAACGGAAGAATGTGGTCTGATCATCAACACCATACACTCGTTCTAAGAATAATACTATAGCTGATTTATGAGCTGGGAGTAATCCTGGTGGTAGACCACTTCCTCCATCTGTATAATATAAACAATTACATAGGAAACACAAACATGTAAACACATGATTATTAACGCAATACACCATAATCAGAATAATCTTTAATGATGCTGTTTGCCATTTACTAAGAGAAAAGCATTTAAAATGTAAGTAAAATGTGATACTGTGATTGCACTATGAGATATAAATTACATGTAGTTAAAACATAACCAAATTCAACTGACCTTCTTCAGCAGCATTAGGATCAGCTACAGGTAAAATAAATCTTAGAGACAGAACTCCCTCTAGATCTTCCATAGATACTAAACTTCTTAATATAGCTCTTGCTCTTACTGAATCACTTCGACCAGCTTTTATAGTCTCAGCATCTGGTGCACATCGTCCTAACAGATCCACTAAACTAGCATAGAATGATATTATAGCTCCTCCCATATCAATATAATCTTCATCATCTTCAGGTGGTAGGGTGGAGAAATCATATTTACTGAAAATATAAAGGTAACCGTTGTGTACGTTTCAGGATTTCACCAAAAATGAATACTCTGTCGGTGTGCTGTGTCTGCTTTATTCTATGAATAGTAGACCCAAACAAACCATTCACACTCAGGATTGGACCGAGTTGCCATGATTTGAGCTCACCCTCAGCCATATTCTACTTTCTGGTAACACAGTGATGAACAATCACAAAGGTGAGTTTAAACCTGACATAAAGTAAGGAGAATGTATGATACATGTCAGATAGAAGTATTATGAAACAAAATCAGGTCATCTTTATATATAATGTATCCTAATAGATTTTTTTATGATAAAATAAATATATTGCTGGTTTGAAAAGCTAGTTTAGGACTAACCTCTGGAAGAGATAGTTGCCACCAGTGTCATCATCATCATTCATAGCAGCTAGGAAATTACTGGATGATTCATCTCGACTAGCAGCAATCTGTTCTGACATTCTGATACCTTCTTTAATAGCTCTTAATAAACCACCACCTTCACCACGTAGAGCTGGTCCTAAACACTCAGGTCTTCTGATCAATAATCTTACAACTAGATTAGCATTCTCTTCTACACTTTCACCTACAATACAAATAACCATATGTTTTATGATTTGATAACCTATTGTATGCTAAGAATGGCTCACTGAGCCCTTTCAGCTACCCAAAGGATCTCTGAGTCAGCATTATAAATAGCAGAGTAGACAAACCATAAATAAAGATTAGTAAAACTGAACAAAGGGGCAATGACAGCTCAGTCAAACCCATCCCAAGGTACCTAAATGCATAGTTGTGGTGCTATCAACATATGAAACTACAATCTAGTTTAGTTTCGCATGGTAGAAAGCAAATGTCATCCTTACCATTAACCCAGACACAAAATCTAAGGAAATCTAAGAATCTCTCTCCCTCTACAGGATCCCAACCTACATCAGGATAGCCTTTCTCTGAGAGTTCTGAATTACTCTGTAATCCACATCTTGCTAGATAGATAGCTATTTTCTCTAGATGAGCTTCACGTAAAGCAAGGGCTAATTCATTATTATCCATCAAAGATGAACATCCAACATCTAATGGACAGGAACCTCTCAATGATGGACGAGCTGTAACAAACATATATCATTGGTCAAAATTCAACTATTTTCATAATTATACTTGTTTGTCTGATGTTACCTATGTATTGTCATTATTCTTTGCTGTTTCAAGATCCAACGTCATACAAGATAAATTACCATCAGGTGGGTCAGGACTTGTTAACTATTTCCTCAATACTAATTAGATTGTCATCCACCTTGTTTTTTCACTACTGGGCATAATATGTAATGGCTTACCTAACAACATAGAACTGTTTTCTAACATATAACTTAAATGTTCAAACATAGCTCGTTGATTTTGACGACTGGTGCGACAGAAATAACATAAAAATCTACAGCACATTACCACCATCTCTGCTGCAGCATCCTGAATCAAAAATCATGGAATAATTCTCAATGTTTCTGAAAATCATCATTATTAGTGTCAAATGTATTAAACATTGTTGAAAAAGAAATAGGCGAGAAAGCACTATTGGTCTTCCATAATTTCTCTTATACAATGACCTTAGCCCAATAAGGTGAAAAATTGTTCTAATTTACCTTGGAGACAAAAATTCCATGGATCCTAATTGGAATATTTCAATTCAATTCATTCATTAAAAAAAAATAAATGTAATCATAGAAGAAAACGAGGAATAACTGACCTTATTTTGTTTAATCAGACTATCACTAGTTGATGAAGTAGGTATAGATTGACGTCCACCAGTAGCTTCAGCACTACTAGCTGCTGCTTGTTGTTGTTGTTGGGCTTTATTTAATGTATTCACCATCAACTGCATGACAGTCTCATGAACACATAGAGCTCTCATCAGATCAGGATGTTGGAAAAATACTTTATTATCCATTAGGTCACTGAAAATTACATAAAAAATATTTAGACCAGTTAGATATAAGATAACTTGAGCATTGAAAGTCAATTGTGATGTTTGATTAATCATCTGAAATCAGCTTTTGAAATATTTGTGGATAAACACAAAAGAGTATTATTTATAAAAACGTCTTGTCAAACAAGGTGAACAAACTGAATGTATTAATGACCTTTTTTTGATCGATGCAAAACATATTTTCTTCATATGATTCAAAAAAGTATAGTATACTATAAAATCTTACCGTAAACTGTTTTTAAGGAGTTCCTCCTCAGCATGACCAACTTGTACTAAGAGTAAAGATCTTATAATACCTAATGATTTCCATAGTAAATTAATATCATTGGCACTATTACAACTGATAACATACGTCTTCTCTAGAGCTGCCATCAACTAAAATAACAAAAATAAATTAAATGAATGGAGTTTTACATCCTTATTTTCTGCACCATACAATAACAGAAGGAAAGACAAAAAAATAAAATCCTCTTAAATACCTTTTCTTAATTTGCAAAGCAGAGGTGATTTGTGTCACATGGGAGACAAATCAGGTCAAAATTGGTGGAAAAGAAGAGGAGAAATTCACCTAAAGGCGAATTGTGTCAAATGCAAAAATGTTCATATATGACTAATAAGCTCCAAACATAATTTGATACATTATATCAAGTTCTCTTGTATAAACTGTATATTTATACATCATATTTAACTATCTATATACAACATAAAACCATTGAAGCTTGTGGTAAAGACTTTTTAATTTCTAGATTTTGAAGTACTTTATATCAATATACATGTATATGTTAATATCAGGTGTTTGACATTGTATTATTTACCTCTCCAATACCATCATATTGTCTGTGTAATAAACTGAACATTTCTCTTATCAAATCAGCGCTAGAGATAAAATCTTCTTGAGCCCAACGTACAACAGTATCTGTTACTAACTTCTGGATGGAATCTATAAAGATCAGAGGAGTGTGTCATCCTACCATTGCTCATAGTAATGGTTATAATTATATATAATACACCTATAATGGTGGTGTACGTAACTACCAAAGTATATCATTTTTTTTATAATCCCCATGGAATTTGATGAGCACAATCACCACATAGGTCTAGATATTTGTTTTTAAATTTGCAAAGTTGTACATATTCCCTCAATCAGTGGTGCAGCTTGACTTTCTCAACATTCTTATCATTTAAAGAGACTACCGTAAAACCTTTAGACCCTTTGTGCTATAAACTATACATGTGAGAGATTCCATATTGCAATGAAAGTACAGAATATTTAAGTTTATTATAAACGAAGGTATACCAGGCTTACCAGGTTTCTTAAAACGTGATCCTGATAGTCCATGATTATCATTTTTAACTTTCCATACTAGAGCTAGAAGTTTCTCTTTCACAGAAGGTTGTGGTGGAGCATCTACTGGAACCTCTTCTTCTACCAGAGTTGGCATGGCACAATGTTTTCTTAACTCAATATGGAAGGTACGTAATAAATCACAGATATCTTCATCACATGGACATGGTTCAACTCCTTCTACTGGTTCTTCTTCTTTGAATGCCAGTAAAGCTCGCATCTATAAGTGTAGTAAAATTTGGGTTTTAGACATTGGATACTTTCAGTTTCCTGGAATATTTATCTTTAAACCTGCAAAGCAACTTAATCCACCAAAATCTTTTTATTTGACTAGCTGGGCATTTGAGCTTAAAATTCACTTTCATTAAATTTTCAAATGGTTAAATCTATAAAAATGTCCATTTTGTCATTTAAAGTTTGCTATCAGACAGGACTCGACAAGTATAACAACCACCCTGCATCTTTCTGTACTTGACAGAAATATATGACTTACCTGTTCTTGGGGTGGACATCTGAATTCCTTAGTTTTCTTAGCAGTAACAGATGATGGTAGATCAGCCTGTTTTATAGCATTATATCTTCTCAATTGATCCTGCAAATGATAGATTATTGTCATTGAACTAACGATTGAAAAATCTATACTTTTTTTTCATTATTTTCATTTTGATTGATTGATACATTTCAAGAAAAACCCATGCAGTTGGAGAATTCTATTTATAACACAAGACATGAATGCTACCATTATATACATTAGAATGTAAACATGTATATTTATACTTAATATGTATCAGACACTTCAGAAGTTGAGATGACATCAATCAAACAAGTTTTACTTACATTTTGACAGTTACCAACAAAGTTTTCTGAGAATGATGATATAGTTTCAACTCGATGGCGTAGTTGGATGGCACATAGATGTTGTAAGATATGGCACACCTCTAGTTTCACTGGTTCTGATAATGTCATATTTAATAGACCATTGCTTCCAATCACTGTAATTAATATCAGATTTCAAATATTGTCTTGACACTTGCTTATATAACAATCATGTTCAGATTTTTCCATACTTTCACTGAACTAAGGATTAAAACAACAAGCTACTGATAGGTGATGTCTGAGAATAGATTGTGAACAAAACAAAAAAAACTTGATATTTTAGTTCAGTGAAGTAAATCCTATCACTGCATTTTATTTCAACCATTTGACTTAATGTCTCCAGAAGATAAACTTACTGTTCATCTGATGATCATCAAAAATTTTAGGATCCAATAAACATAATAACTGATTTAAATCATCATCATCTAATAATCCCATAGTTAATAGGTGATCACAGATCTTTAATAGTGGTCTGAAAATAAATGATAAATGTTAGGATCAACTCAGAATTAAGTTATGAATAAATCTTATTCCAGATTAAAATGAATATTTTGTTAATAGTTCCTGTATGTGTGAGGATGTGTGTGTGTGTGTGTGTGTGTCTGCCCATTTACATCCATTTGACATCTTTATCAACATAATTTTGATTAGGTTGACCCATGGACAAAATTTTAACTTTAAATCAATTCACAATGTTGTATACTTACACAAATAAATTAGCATTAGTTCCACCAATAGGATCTCTAATATGAGCAGCACCAACTTGGACAGCCTGGGTTAAAGCTCTCATAGTATACGCTTTTAGTTTAGCCATGGGGAAGTATGGTGCTGTACTGTCTTTACCATCTTTAGCCAATCTGAAAATATTAGTTCATGAACATGTAAAGAAGGACATAGTGTTTATGCAAATGCAACTCCAAATTTGCTAAGAATTTGATTTCACATATCATTCTTTATAATTCTACTATACATGAAAACAATTCATCTGCCCAGTTTTAAAAGTATATTAATTATTTTGACAATAAACAAACAAACCTATTTTCTATTTCTTTGCCTGTAATAGCTAACATAGGTCTGATAGAAACTGAGTCTTCCATTGTTGGTATTTGATGTTTTATATTATAGTCTTCAGATCCTGGACTTCGTGTTCGATATAAACAGAGATTTTTACTCTGTGGTAATAATGGTATGATAAACTCTTTCTCTGTTATCACTCTGTAAAACAGTATTTTAAATTTAAAAACTAAGAGGTCAGAGGCCTCAAAGAAGACAAACTGATCCCCAAAAGCATTGTAACATTAGCCTAGGAATGTATAAATGGAAGAATATTGTGAGCAGTGAAGTTGATACAAAGATTTCTGTCATTCTTACCTGGCTTTAGAATGACTATCAAGATGCATTGATATCAATAAATCATTGAATGAATTTCTTAAAGTTCCTGATAGAGCTGAAATACATGAACATAATACTTTTTATTACTGATATCAGACTTTATTAGACCTATAGTCAAAGTAAACAATAATATTAATGAGGCCTACACAGTAGAAATCACTACTTCTTTATATGTTTTCTGAAATTCATATTCATAATTTGAATATGTGGATTTGATGGTTTCTAGTAATATGAAAGAGAGGACAATGTCCAGGTCTACAGGCTTCAATACAAACTCTCATGAGTTCAATTATCTAGGGCATTATTGAAGTGTTATTATTGTTCAGACTTACATTCACTTTGAATACAGTACATGAGTTGTCGTTCATCAATATGTTGTATCAATACACTAGCAACACGATGGTTACCATGGGAACATACAGCCTGGTACAGTTCTAATGTCTTGGCATGGAAACTGTAATAAAATCAATCAGGAATGAGTTATCTCATAATTTTCAATGTAATTCTTAGCAAGTTGAAACAATTCACCACTTTCTCTTTTAAGGATTTAAAAGTTTGATATCTTTTATTTTATCCATGCATTTTATAATGAAATTATTTTATATCATTCCAGTCTCCTCTACAGCAAGTGCAAATACAAAAATATAGCAATGAAGAAGAACTTACTTAAGCAGATGTTCATATTCTATCAATTCTAAAACATCTAAACATCTATCTTCTTCTGGTATATATACAGCTAACATTGGTACTATAATAAATATAGTTTCAAAAAGATATAATAAACAATAATCATAACACTTTATAATAACAAATTACAATTCATAAGATTGGACCAGATCGATCATCATATTTGTTACAAAAAATTAATTTTAGAACAAGATATACAGTTTATCAACTATCCAAAATACCCATTACCTGGATTTTCACACAGCATACTCCAGCCTCTAATATCTGAAAGTTTCAGTGTCTGTACTCCTAGAGATATGTTTGGTACCCTAGCCCATGAGCTAGTCTTCAATATCTGTACATCTAATCTAGTAGGACACATTGGTTGTATAGATTTAGGTCCTCTAAATACAGCAGCTGACAGTGGTAGAGAGGTCTGAAATAGTAAGAAATACCCATTTATTTCATGCATCATTAGATTTCTCTCACATTTCATAGCTTGGTCAAGGTTTTCTGGAATCGCAGAATGTCAGATGAGAATAGGAATGGTGCAAAAAGAAATCATTTGTCCCAATGCACATGTAAAGGCTATTAAGCCCCTTTTAAATTTTTTCAGTATCAACTCAATCCAGAAACATATTGAATAACTTTAAAGAATATTAAAGGTCCAAATTATACTTCAAATCAAAAAACAAATTTCTTTTCAGAGTGAAACTGTTTGTCAATACTTACCCTAGTATTACCAAGTTCAAACTGGAACATTTCTTTTATTGTTGATTCAGCAATAACAGCAGGGAATAACCTGGTTCCTGGTTCCACCTGCAAATGAATCAGGACCATCATTGACCAAACACATAGAATTGAGTTCCATAATTTTGTAACTAAATATACCATTCGCTTGTGTATAATTCAATATTTTTGCGAAATTAATTTGAAAGAGATATTCTTAATATATAGTTTAAATGAATTTTTATTAATTTTAGGTTTTGTTAATGAAGGCTAAATAGAAAAATAAGACTTACTTGGAATTTGTTAGCCACTTCCTTGCCATTAACAGTAAAACTGAGTAGACCTGTAGCACAATCAACTAAACAACCAATAACTAAACCTGGTGAAGAACGTTTACCAGATACATCTTGATTAGCTCCAGCATATCTCTGTTGTAAATCACCAGCAGACACAATATAACAATTCTTACGACTTACACTAAAATATAATAGGTGGTACATATACATTACTCAGTTCACGAAAATGTTCTGGGATAGGGTCCAAACAAGATTTGTTTCCGTAGAAAAACAAAAGTGGTTTTTTGTACTATGTGCTGAATATGTGCCCACAATAATCCTACAGTTTGTAAAAAGATGTGCAAAATCACAGCAAGATTTTGAGCTTATATCAAGCTAATGCAGTTTGGGGCTTTAAAAAACCCACTTCTTTTCTATCAAGTCACTATAAAATCATTTTGAATTCTTACCTGTGTTTTAGTCTATAATCAACATCTAATGTAGACACAATAACATGACGGATCTTTTTAGTGTCAAAAGTTGTATCATGGAAATGGTAGTCTGGTGTCACCCAACCAACAAATACTTGTGATGGATCTTGTCCTGGGAATATTCGTACAGAATAATGGTATTCTTCAATTTGTTCAGCAATGGCATTCATTTCATTCATTTCAGCATCAGAATGACCGTCTGCAGAATCCAGACTGAAATCTCTGAACATTGGACGTCTTTCAAGAGCATCTTGGAATTCATAAGGAACAAATTCTCCATCCATGTCCATATCTCTTCCAGCAGACACACTGTCTAGTTCTGAATCAATGATTCTAACACCAGGTGGCAGACTATTTCCTTTCATTGGTGATCTTCGATGGTCTCTCATAGCTTTAGATGTACTAACTTTACGATCTAGACTAGAATATTCTGTTGATCGAGTAGATCTAGGTTTCAGATTACTTGGTGATGGATCTCGAGATTTTGATTTTCTAAATATGGACGTAAAGGATGGCTTTCCTGCTGATTTCTTCTTATCTTTTTTCTTATCTACAACAGCTGCTTTGGCTTTTCCAACAACTTTATCAGCAAGAAGAGAAAGTTTGGATCCATTGTTTCCTTTATTAGGTAATGATAAAAAGGAACCATCCACATTCAGATGTGACTCACTTGCAGCAGTCTTCATCGTACCACTAGTCGTGGAATGATCTCCAATACTGGTATCATCCAATGAATGACCTTTACCTTGACTCATACTCTGGCGGTAGTTTTTTCGTTTGGCTGCAGCGCTCTTATCATTCTCCCCAAAAACTCTATTGAATGCTGAAATGAATAGATCAAATTGTAGCTTTCAATAAGAGAAGAAATGTGGCATTAACATTTGAAGACTTGGTGTCACAGGCATATTTGTAGAGGCAATAAAATTCCTGCTTTATCCACAATATCTTAGTAGTTTATCAAAATAATGAATTTTAATACCAATTGCAGTTTGATTGTTTTCTACAGTGGAAATCTGTAACCTACTTTTTCTGAGTGTAAGATCTGGACCACCATTAGCAATCTCGCTAGGAGCAAAATCTTCTTCATCTAATATAATGGTAGAGAATGAAATAAAGAGATAGAATAAGAACCACAACCACGGTAAAAAAAATCTCTCACCAATGATGAGTGCAACAGATATTGCATATTGTGAGATTTGGGAAAAACCAGGGTGCAATAAAATATCTATGATATTGTTTAAATTCAAAATGACAGCATCCTCTAGATAGATTAACTTGAATAGTACAGAACTGGATGCAAAATGATGTGTATTTTATATTGTTTTTTTTTTGTCTATAATTCAATAAATATACAGTTCTTCAAGAAAACTAAATCCTAATTCTTGTGAAGATGTGAAGTATGAAAACTAAAGAAATAAATTTAGTAATGCTGAGCAATACATAGTAGCATTATCTAATATAGAACTAGAACTATATCTATAGAACTGAAATGATAATGTGAAGAACTTACTGGCCTCAGGTATAGCATCAGGTATAGAGTCTTCTAATCGACTGAGATCCATGCTGTGATGGGGTGGGGTAGGCTCATCATGCACACCATTCTCTATACTAAAATTACTCCCATCAACAATACGTCTCAATGAATCTGTTAGTAAAATATAAAGCACACACCATGCAAAGCATAACTTAATTAATCTAAAAGCATTGAAATCTTTGAAAGTATATGAGTATATTATGTTGAAGATATGAAGTATTTGTACAACATGTTCAAGATAGGAATTAAAGAGATATAATCTCCTTATAATTCATTTTCAAAAATAGTCAAAAGAAATTAGCTTCTCAAAATTCGAGAAAAGACTTTGTTTAAAATCTATCAGGGACAAAGTCAAATATATCCAAAAAACAGCTTTTATTGAGTTCTACCTACCAATATTGAACCTTTACCATGAAAGAAAACCAGTGAAAAGATATCAATAACTGTCAGAGATTGGAAACAGAGAAGTCTGCATTATTTTGGTCATGAAATAATTTAATGTGATTTTTGATCAACAAGTTATGAGTCAGACATAAATGAAATGAAAATGAAATGAATGGAGTTTTACGTATTTTCTGCACCACGTGGGTGAGTCAGACATAAATGAATTGAGAAGTATCTTGATTGCAAATACAAGCTAATAATATGCTTGTTGAATTAGGATTGTTGTATATATGTTGTATATATGAAATATTTTGTTTGAAATATGATAATCTACACCTATAGAAAGCATGATACTCTAGTAAATTTCTAAATGGATCTGAACAAAATGAATGATAAAACTTAAGAAATAAAACATTTGATTCATAGCAATTGGTGTGAGAGTAAAAAAGAACCCAAAAGTATGTGATAGGGACTTGCAGGTATCTAAAATCAAATTCTCTGTAAAGAATATTTTTCTTACCAGCTTTCCAAACTTTTTATTTTATAAAAAGACATAGAGAAAAGTTATAACAAATAGAAGTTAGGCAAAAGATATACACTTTACAACACACTTGATAATTATTTTCCATGCAATACACTTCATTATATCAAAAAAATGAAAAAAAAATCATTTTTCAAAAAGGTAAAAATATATAAGTTTCCAGTTATGTAAGTTTTTGAATGAAAGAATTCTAAATTCATAATCTATCCAAAGAACATGCTTTATTACCAGAGGGAACCAATGAGTATTTGACTCATCTTGAGTTATTTCACCTCATCTTCTTCAAATTAATACAAAATGGATAATCATATATCCAATACTAACTAAATACAGTGACATGCAGCAGGATTATACTAATACTAATACTATAAGCTCTACAGGTATATCATATTGAATATCTTTCATTTTACACATATTAAAATATACAAATTTATATAGTAGCTTGAGTACTCATTAGAGCTGAATTCCACTATTTAGTATTCAACGGATTCAATTTTTTATGATTTGAGCCGTCTAAATGACAAGAATACTGGAACATTTCCAATGACATATAGGATAAGTATTTCAACATCATAAACCAAAAACAAGTGCTGACAGAAGTGTGTAAAATGTAAGATTATAACAAAATAAAGAAGTAATAATATAAGTAGTTTAGTAAGGGGTAGGTATATTAGTTCTACCTGCTATTAGTTTACTGCCACGGTCTACAGAAGCATCACTGATATTAGCATCACTGATATTAGCATCACTGTAATTATCGGCCGTACTAGAAATAGTTTCCACACCTGTTAAGTTTTCCTCTTCTATATCACTCCTATTACCTCTCATATTCTCTAGATTCATTCTCTTCTCTAATACAGCTTGAGCTAGGTTTCTGTCACGACTAACACAAAATAAAAACATGGCTTTTAAAGAATTTTTCAATCCAAATTTTAAATTTAAGTGAAAAGATATCGACACAGCAAAACTTGGAATCTTGGAAGCATGTACATGTAAAAAATCATCTGAAGAATTACCAATATTTCAAATATCGCTGAGTTTGTGTATTGACTAGAAATGAAATTGGCATTCCTTTCAGATATTTCTAATATGAACTTTTGAATACATGATAGAATTATTATTTCTTTTCTATACATATTATCATGGCACATTTAAAACTTTCCAAAATTAAAATCTAAACTAAAGCATCAGTTTCATTCTTAAATACCAAAATATTGACTGTATTGTTAAGAAAAGAGATACACTTACATAGAAAGGAACTCATCTCTACATCTAACTGGAAGACTGAGTCTAAAGAATTCTAGTTTGACTTTCTCTAGGGTACCAAAAGTCTTTGACTGAACTTTCAAACATGGTGTGACATTGGCACCACCTGGTATTCTAGTTATCTGTATCTGAGGATCATCAGTCTCTAGTGAACAAAATAGTGCTTGTTCTTTACTGTACCATAATGGCAGCTGACGTGTCATATTTCTGAGAAAAAAAAAAATAATTGAACAGTGCAGATCATACTAACTTACATATTGTATAGTTATAAAAATACTTTTCTAACAGTGATTTTGACATTTTACTTTGCCCTTTTGTAAAAATTGGACTAAAGTCAATCTATTGAACAGAATAATACAAGAGTGATAAAAAAATCAGAAGTCTGTCTAACTTACACACAGAATGGTTCATAGCCTTCTTGTAAACCACAACAAGTAAAATACTTTAGAGTGTTTACATCTTGTCCAAAGTTAAATCTACCAGATTGATGAGCTCCTAGAGTCATGGCTGGAACAAATCCTGTAACCAAATACAGCATGTTTAGAATTGAAGTCATATTGAAATAAAACATGTCAAAAATTATTTTCATATCAAACCCTAACACTCAGGGTTTCGAAATTGAACCTTTTCAGTTATTTTCATGTTTTTTCTACAAGGAATAAAATGTATTACCTTCAGCAGGATCAATATCTCTAAAAGCTATTTCTTGTCCTAGTGAATCCATCATTAATTCACCATTCAGAGAGAAAGCTGAAAATTAAGGTTTTAGATAAACATTCAAATATTATTTTGCTCTTCTGATATGATTGGCAGGCTGAACACTGATCCAAGGTTGCAATTCTTAACTTCAAACTCTTGGACATGCATAAATTCATATCATTATAGTAAATGAATAAGAATAAAAACTTTGATCAAGATGTTGTTTAGCCCTTAATTCATAATGAAAATGTATAGTCCCTAGCTTCACTTCAGCTTGACATGACTGGCAATAAACCATTAAATTAATCAGTAAATACTACAACATATTATTATCCCTTAACTAACTAAACTCTTACTTACAGATAGTTTTATCATGAAGATCTAACATACAACCAATAACATCTCCTACTTGCCAGATTTTACCATAAGCATCAGATCCCTGGTTCCATTTCCTAGCCTATAGAGATAAATAATGAAGATGAAAGTGATATCAACAAAGGGAAAAAACATTGAAGAGAAGATGAATTGCAAACTGAAATTAACCATGTGGATATCAATACACCAAGTTGAATTTAACTGAAAAGAAGAACAGTGTAAATTACAAGATCATGTGTTTGTCCAAATCAAATGTATTATATATTATTCAAATATACTCCAATAAAGAGCACAGCAAGTTTTTCAAGCCTAATTATTCTATTTATGAAATATAGATATGATATTTTCTTACCAAGTAGCCATCAAATACGTAAGATTTTCCATCTAGACCCAGTTCATCACCAGATTGAGCTGAACGTTTAGCCCATCCTATCTTCATATAACCAGTAGTTAATACATCCATTTCATAATACCTAGAAAATATATATATATAACAATTAACAGAATATATATTGCTGAGTCTCAACAAAAGACTAGATATCGTTTTTACTTTCAAACATGGACAATTCTAGACATGAATTTGAAGGGTCAAATTTGGACGGTGAGCTGTAAACACTATTACTGTTTAGCTTAGCTAAAAATTTTCCTGTATCTGAGACTAAGGTACGATTAGTCAAAAGGATATCAAATTTGTCCCTTTTAAGTAACAAACACAAACATGTAAATCATTAATTAAAATAGACCTATTTCTGGATTAAGTAGGTTTTTTTAATCAAAAAGAATTTCTAATCTGCTCAGTAAAAAGAGTAAATAGTTTACCATTTTCCTGATGTAACAGCGTAAGTTAATTCTGCTCTGTAAGTACGAGTTTGTATTGTTTTCTCTTGTGATTCTCTAGTTAGAGCTGTTTCACCAGTTTCACTTGTTGGTGCCTCTAGATTGTAACCATATGCTATCAATGTCTTCACAGTATCACTGGTCGTATTTCTGGAAAAATTCATACAAATTTGTAGATCTTGCAGGTTTTTTGTCAATATGTATTACATTAGTATTATGTTATGGTGTTTAAAGGCATCAGGAAATTTAAATTGTTCTTCTTACATGTTTCATTGCTTTGGCTTAACAGTCAGAGTTTATTTATGTTTTTTTTTGCTCTATGGAATGACTTTGGTTTTGTCCATTATTGTTCTACAGAAATTCTTAGTTCTTTTACCTACATGCTCAACAAATACCATTATTGACCTCCACTGATAAATAATAATTGAAGCTATTTCACTCACCTGTTGGCTTTTTTGATAGATTCATCAACTTTATTGTAAGGGACAAGATGAGGACTTCTTTTATGGATAGGATCTTCTTTTAGACCATAAGTCCAACCATGTTTAATTCTATCTCTGGCCCACACATTATGGGTATTTTCAGCCAATAGATTGACTAATTGTTCCATCTTTTCAGTCAATGTGACCACTGATAAATCTAATGGGGTTGGTTTATAACCATTATTCTGTAGAAAGCTGAAATATAATTCATGGAATGTACTTAGGTCTACCTTGTACAATGTGTTCAGTGGTATTTCTATTTATCCTTTGGTGGAGGAGCCAAGTTAGGGCCACAGAATTGTTAAGAGTTGAAAACAGCATCAGGTTTATAAGAATGTAAATAAATTAAAAATCATTGGTAAGAAATTTGAAATGGGGGCCAAACCCAGCCAGCCAGCCATGAAGCAGATTTGAAAACAAAAGATGCACGTTACAGAACTTAGTAAGAGTTGTAAGAGATTGAAAGCACCACCACTTTTTAAGAATACTGTAATTTTATCCATTTCAATCTGCACTCATATGAAATATTGTAATGAATTCAGGTGAATTCAGGTTTACTTACTTATTAGCTAATTTGACAGTTTTAAGTCTGTTATTTTGTTGTTGCTGATGATCTACTGTTATATGGTAACCTAAAGCTATCAGTGTTCTGAAAGTATTATAATCCGAAATTTCATTCAATCTAAATTTCATTACTGCTCATTTTCACTCATGAACATTGGTGAATTAACATATATTTTATATTCTTCATTAGTAAAAAGATGGAGTAAAAAAAACTAAAAAAATTTTTATTGCTATCTGGAGAGTATATTAGCCATAAATTAATCTGTAGAGAGACAATTCTTAATGTATATCTCATTCATGACGCCTACAGATGAAACTGTATAATAAGGGTAAAGCATTATAATGATATGTTTAAAATCTAGGTTACCTTAATGTTTCAAAAGCTACGGTAATAACATATTTCTTCTCAGACATTGGTAGACGTTCAAAGGCTGTCAATGATGGGTTCTTTTTGTTGGTTGGATTACGTTCCTATTGATTCAAAATTAGAAATATAATCAAATTATTGTTACATAATCACCAAGTAATATTTAACTTATACAGATGATAAAGAGCAATTTAAATTGTTGTGTTGTAGAAATATCAACTAGTTTTATCACTAAAGTAAGGTATTTTCAATAATAAAACAGCTTACCTCACCATAGGACCAGCCTTGTTCTATTTTAGACATGGCCCATAACTCATGTAAATTTTCAGCAAGCTTATCTCGTACATTCTCAATATAAGCTGGAAGCTGGATCTATGAGAGAAAATCATAACTACTGTTTACATTAGAAACCGAAATATATCATAAATTTGTAAAACAAAGTGATATTGTATTCATCTTGGTTCAGTGTATGTTAATTTTCTGAAAAAGTGTTTTAGTGCGCACTGTTTGTGTAAATTTCCTATTTTGACAACAAGATAATTTTATTATGACTTCAAAATGCGACTTTTTGACCTTTTCTTATAAAACCTTTTGTTCTTAAGAACTTACTCTGCCTGTAGTAACTGGACTAGGTACAAAGGGGACATAATCTAGAATTTCAGTTGGCCCACTAACAATACTCTTCTTTAAATCACCAAAATGAAAACAAGATGTCAGATGTAGCTTCTCTTTTGGCATCAGACATTCTATTATTGGTGAATGTTCTTCTGGTGGACCATACTTTAATCTACCATTTTCACCTCCAAAAACAAAACGGCAACTAAAATAGAGATAGATACCTGGTACAATTACTTACATAGATAAAACATTCAAGTTTACCATGATGTAAGTTTTATATCTGAATTATAACTCACAATATGCAAGATTAAAACCCATAAATTGAAGGACTTATTTTCAAAATAAGACTTCAATTGTTATGGCTGGACTAGTAATTACTGTGATATTAGCTTTAGGCTTAATGGATTAAATCTCTAGTCTCAATCCAAAGTACTAATGAAATCATCAAAATTAAATCTGACAGTAAGTAGTCCTTTTCACTGTCATGTTCCACCGAAATCAAAGAATGCTTACCTTACAGCGGCTGACATACTAACAACAGGAAAGAATATTCCAGACAGATTGAAATCTTTTAAAAATCCTCGTATTTTAACACCATTGAGGGAGAATGTTATTTGTGGAACTGTTAAATCTAATGTACATCCAATGACATCACCTTTCTGTAATGGCTGACTGGCTGATCTCACATGTTTGGGTTTACCACCTTAAAAACAATTCAAATCAATTATGGATAACAACATTATTACTCTACAATATCTTTTTTATATCTTATGTGAATAAAACCACAAATGGCAGAGTTAATACACTAACATTTTAAATTTGAACAAAAATTTGTATGACACAAGACTCAACAAGCATCAATCTATATTGAAAGGTGTAAGAGGATACTTGCCTGTCCAGAGATTTTGTCCATCAAAAGCATAGGAATATAAATCATCACCAATACTATTACCACCCCATTTCTCACCCCCACCAGGGTAAGGTTTAAACCCATCTGTATTAGCCCATCCCATACGTAATATAGGGGGTAGGTGGGTAGCATATTCATAATTTATCACAACTATTTCATAATACCATTTCTTATACATGGCAGATCCCTCACACAGGCCTACACATAGATTAGGACGTAAGCTGAAAAACAAAAATAATAAGTTCGAAATTGAAACATTGTCTGTAAATAGAACAATATCAAATGTTAATATTAGTTAATATAAAAGAGAAGAAATGTGATTTAGCAGCAAAAGGCACATGTTTGTTTTTGCTTCTATGTGGGTATTGAATCTATGTAATAAAGGAAAATATGAAGAAAATATCAGTTCTACAGCTTATAACTAGACTTTCTGATGTGAATGTGAATTAACTTCTTGCAAAAAGGAATCTTAGGTCAAGTCTAAAATTAGTAGTTTAGCATTGACACAGTACTTACCAAGTGACATGATCCACTAATTTAGTTTGTAATAATAAGTCACGACCAGGTAATAAATTGTCACAAATCAGGTTTTGATTGGTTCTTACAGCTACACCACTACCAACACACAGTGCACGTAAAACATCTAGAACCTGGAATATTATTAACATTGTGAAAAACATAGGTCTGAACAGAAGTCTCCAAGTTCAAGTGATCTCTCTTAACAATATGATAATTATTATGTTAATATATGTCTACCTTATGATCACGACCGTGTTTGTCTATAAGTGATATGATGGTTATAATATAAACAGTATTGAACCTACCTTATGATCACGACAATGTTTGTCTATAAGTGATATGATAGTTATAATATAAACAGTATCAAACCAACCTTATGATCACGATCATGTTTGTCTATAAGTGATATGATGGTTATAATATAAACAGTATTAATCCTACCTTATGATCACGACAATGTTTGTCTATAAGTGATATGATAGTTATAATATAAACGGTATTAATCCTACCTTATGATCTCGACCGTGTTTGTCTATAAGTGATATAATAGTTATAATATGTTTTTCTTTAATCATATTTAAAGCTTCAGGTGAATCAATAAGAACACAATGTAAAACATCTAATACACCTGAAAAATAAAAACACAAATAAGCCCACTTTGACATGCATTTGGTGGCACATGAGAATGATGGCTCCATCAGAGAGAGTTATCTTTGAAATATGTAATCAATTTATTCAGACACACTGGACAAACTAGAGATTTATAAATTATACCTGCAAATTTCATATATATGCCTCTACTTTCAACAGTATAGTCAAGAGCGTACTTACCTGTGGAAGACTGTTGACTTTCTAATCTATAAACTAACCAATCTAATCTATAGGACTGGGCAAACTGAGCACAATTAGCTCGATTTCCTCTAATCATAGCAGCTGAAAAATATATTACACTCATACATACAATTGATACACATATTACATATACAGGTGTATTGATACTTAAAGAACTATGTATCAAATTTTTTGCAAAACATTTAAACATAAAGATTGGAAATACACAATAATAGTACTTACCTAACAATAAATATAAATAACTAGAGATGGAATCCCAACTCTCTCCAGCATCTTCTCCAGCATAATGTGAGAATTGTCGTTGTCCTTTATACTGACTAAATTTATCAATTGTTTCTAAAATTAGAGCTATCATTCCTTCTTCTTGAAATAGATCTTGTCTATTTCTTAAAGCTCTTAATTTATTCTGTTTCTCTTCATGTTCTGAAAATAATTGGAAGTGAGCATTATAATTCATGTCAAAGGAAAAGGGATCCGAGTAAAAAGCACTCTGAAATAAACAAAAAGAAAACCATTAGGTTCATGAGTATCATTTCTACCACCTGGTCCTCCACCAACCCTCTTTGCATTGATGTTTCCTGGATTATCTGTACCCATTTACATATGAGTCCACTGGATGAATGAGAAAAAATGACTTATTCGGGGTCACCAGACTGTAACAAGTCAACCGAGATTAGAACCCATGAACCCCAGTTGTTCGATTTAACCAAGCAAATGATGTCATGTAATGATTCCAACCCTCTCCAACTCAAGAAGGTCAAGAAAGGTACTGATCAAGAACTGAAAATTTGATTCACTAAGCGGTAATAAAAAATTCTATGTACTAATTACCAAATAACATTCGTTTTTCTCCTCCAAGCACAACTAAGAAAGCAAATAGATTGAATTGTTACTGAGAAGTTTATAATTACTGAATTAACTGAGCTATAATTATTAAAGAAATCATCATTGCCCCCATGCAGAATCAACATTGATTATATCATTCTGAATAAAAGCAAAACAAACCTTCATCTTCTGCAGGTTGGGCAAAATAATCAATTAAATCTTCAAGGCACTTAATAACTTCAGCCAAACTTATTCTACCCCAGGCATGACTATTTCTACCTTCTGTTTTTAGAGAGTCTAGAGCTCTGAAAAGAGCCAAAACATATTTCTAAAACTGTCACACAACAACCATTTTTTTAAAAAACATCATACAATGGTCCTCTCAAAATTCATACATTCATATTTCAATTCTGCACTCATTTCATTTCAATATTTCCTTGGTATTCCTCAGTTATAACATTAGAAAACTTACTTGTTAAATCTGTTAAATAATGATTGACATTTTCTGATAACACGAGCTGATCTGGATTCTTCTTCTTGAGATTTAGCTAGAGTTAACCCATCATCCATATGACCTTCTACTAACATTATAGCCTAGATAAATAACATATATTTACCAGGTTTAATTTGTTGGCTTTTAAAATCTTTTAAAATACCAGGTACAAGTAATCTAAATTTGTTATCATCTGCTAACAGGACCATCATGATTCTTTGCAATAAGATGTGCCTTCATTTTATGAATAAAGTTAAAAGAAATTATTGAGGCTTATTATTGCTAACAGCAGTAATGATTATAAGGTGAAATTAACGGAATCAAGTACAAACCTTTTTCTCCTCCACTCTACCAACTCCTCTTTTCTTTGTTTCAAAAGTTTGATATGATAACCATAAGCTAGAATCACAGTGTTGTAAGAAAGGCATGGAATCACTGTATTTAATATCAGCCATTCCCATTCCTTCAGCTTCTCGTACTTCAGATTGTTTCTTGTCATCCTGTAAAACATGTATAGATTCATCAAAATTTATGTGGAGAGATCAAGAGCTGACATTGAGAAGACTGTGTAATGCTTTTCTTTCTCTTGAAAAGTGATCAAACCCTACCTAATTTACTTATTTATTAAATACTACTTTCCTTTATTCTTTGAGCTATACATCTGCCCATGAAAATACGGCAAGAAGCAAAAACCTTTAACATATGAGATGCTTTACTTCTTGTTCTAAGTCTTATCAATTGCATCTTAGAGTACAGTATTAGGTCAGGTTAATATTCTCATAATTGTGCCCATACCCTACTTCTGACTGGCTTACCTTAGTTTGTCTCATATAAAATGCTGTGCTAGCTTCATCAGCTTTATGTCTATGTACAGTAACAACATGATGATCTCCAGCAGTCACTGCTAAATATCTTCCTGAGGTCACATGACGTATACGACACTGTTGACCCCATCCCATAAATCCACCTGCCCATCTGAAAAATACAATAATAATTTCATTTCCAATTCTCTTTCATTCAACATAGCTGTTTCTATAGCCTGAAGACCATTCTTGAATTCTAGCAAGGACTTTCAGGTGAAACAGGAACTTCAATTTGGATATCCAAATTCTTACTTTTCTTACTTAAACCTTTTGGATACCGTAAATTGAGATTAAAGTAGTGTAATACTGAATCAAAAATTTAAAATAAAGTGAAGAACACTTACTTTGTTCTGATATGTTCCAGTCTCCATAGTGATCTAGCATGTGAACAAACAGCACCAGTTTCATACATAACAGCACTGTAAAGCAAACGAAGAAGAAAAACATCATTATTTCCCATGAAAAAATAATATGATCTATAATTGGATGTAATAAAGAAAATAATATAAAAATTATAGCAGAGAATAATCAAAAATAATTATCCTAAACTGTGATGATGAACAAGGTAAATTAAATTACCTGAATTCATTTTCACTGCCAGCTTCTGGTAAAGCTAAACATTCATCTTGACCATGGAATAATCTTAAAACATCTCCACCAAATACATAGCCTACAATAGATCATTAATATTATTAACTATCTAACCAGGTTCAAAATATTAAAGATTAAGGTCTGTTATGGAAACAATGCAAATCTCAAATTTTCAAATCCACCAAAATATGACAAAGTAAATGGGACTTCTAGAAATAAATAACATCAGATGACAGATTTGATATTTTAGTGTTGAAGAAATGTGATTTTAAAGTAACTTACCCACAGTTTTGGTACGAACAGCACCAGAACACATTGGTACCACTGTCCATAATGTCTGCTGAAATGAGGCTACAATACTGTTACTGCTTCCAATATGCTATAACAGAATAATACAAACATCAAAATACAAGCATTTCTAATATGTATTGATGTGATCTTAATCTTCACTTGTATTTCAATCTAAAATATGGAATAATTTTAAAATAAGTTAATGTTTTTTTCTCTTTACTCACCAAATATCTCTCTGATGAGACACTGACAAGAATAAGATCATCTCCAACTCTAACTTTTTCACCTTCTGATCTCTGTTTGGAAGCAGGATGGATTGTCCACCAACAAGATTCCCCTACAAAAAAACATTTTATTTAATTAAATTATCCATACCTACAGCACTTTAATTAATTTAGTATCACCAGGGAGGATGAGCTGATTGGGTATAATGTTTATCGTGAAATATTTACATACTCCAATCAACAAATCACAATGTTTGACTGTTTAACTTATTCAACATGCACTTAAACTGTCTACAAAAGGATATATAAAGAAAGAAAATATAAACATACCCTCTGCTGTTTCTTGTAAACCAACATCAAAAGCTAATTTATCATTAGAAGAACTTGTTGATAAACAGGATAAGTACTACAATCAAAGAGAATTTAGGTTTTATACAAGAATTTAACTAATCCAGAAAGGAATTTGATTTTTTTTTGTGAAACTTTTCTTTTAAAGAGTTAAAATTTCTAATATAAACTTAAAGATGGGCTCTCCTATTTTCATTAATGAAAATCAAAATGCTAATACTAAGTAGTAAGTAGAGGTGTTCTAATGACTTGGAAAATATAAAAAGCATGTGTATGTATGTATCTACAGATTAGTGTACATACTAGATAGTAATATGAATGAATAGATCCTTTCAAAGAGAGTAGAGAGGGAAAGAGTCAGGTTGCAAGATAATGTTAACACAAATTCAGCTACATAGAAGTAAAAGTTATGTAAATAAATCAGATATGACTAGTAAGTATTATGTGATGTACCATATGTTACTTTATACTATAGTATTACAATTACTAAATCAATTTCTACACTTCACTAATGTGCACAATTTTTTTTTTCTTTTTTATAAAAGACCAATTCATGTAGAAGTGCATATTTTGTAAGGTTTTCAATTTATTTTTTAAGGAAAACACATTTTTTATTACTCACAAAAATGCAGAAACTAGTGCATATTAATTTTGTCTGAGCTTTCCTAAAAGTTGGAAATGTTTTGCCCTTGTTTTATCATTGAGACTACTAAGTAGTGAGATACAAACAATATAACAGCAAAAATAGCAGGTTGATTTAAGACAAACAGAAGATAAATAAGAAAGTTGGCGTGGAAACAAAGTAATAACATACCATATTACCATGGTGATGACGTAAGAGTACAGCATGACCATACAATAATGTTCTATGGCCTGACTGAGCTGTCTGTAATAAATAGATAGATATATACATTAAGTATTTCATAATAAACATATCAATTCAACTTGAAATATCATCAACACAAATTATCCTTCTGTCTTTGAACTCCAATTTTAGTCAAATCAGTCTTGTGAATGCAGCCAAAACTTATCTTGTTTAAGTCTTCTTCACATTATACTCTCCAAGTTATGTATTTTTTCATGAAGTCCTCATTTTTAGTATGGTAATAAATAAATGATTGTAAATAAACGTTTTTGTTAATGACTTAAATTGTCTCAAAAACCAAAATTTGGAAGATAAAATCTATGCAGGTATCTGTATCAAAGTGAGTATATATAACTTCAATGAAAATATCAGGAAATGATTTTTAAAGCTATATGACTTACTGCTGATCCTTCTGATGTTGATGTGATCATCTCTTGTAAAGCACGGACCGAAAGGGCTTGTTCCAACACAAATACTGATACAGAGATATCTGGTGGAACATCCTGAAAAATAATCATATTTATACAAGAAAATGTGTCTCAAAACTAGTCATTTAAAACATTTTCTATGGATGTGATTTTGTTGGTCAGAAGACTTAAGAATGTAAACAGTTTATGAAAATTTGTTGACCAATTGTCCATTACACAGTCAACTAATCCAATAGGTTCAGAAAGTGCAGAAAAAGTTGACTTTATGCTCATATTTATACATTTGTTAAATTTAAATTAAATTCAAATCAGTTGGTGTTATAACTAAGCATCTTATGAAATGACAAGTTTTTAATGCTTATCATTAATATAATTATAAACATAATATCAGTTTCTATTTTTCTCATCAGACATTTAGATATTACAATCAGAGGGTTTGATGATAATAACTGTCAATATATTCTTCTCCATGAGAGGTCCTTTTTCAGAATCTAAATCTCAGATAAGGTAATTTTCAATTCATCACAAATTGAACTTGAATATACTAACCAAAAATGTCATGTACAATACCAGCTTTGAGAAAATATAGATGAGCAAAGCCATGTAATGTGCAATGGAGGAAATTTTGAATGAACAGTGACATTGTTCCTATATAAAGAACTCGTCACTTTAAGATAAATAATGATTTTGTTGGATCCAGACAATTAATTTGTTAAAAAGAAGTAGGCAGTAAATGGTGTCTTCAGGTCATGAAGTTTCTGACAAGAGATCTTACATGAAACTATAATACACTGAAGTTAATTCATGAACATACTATCTGAATAACTCACAGCCGTTCAAATTACCTAGGATTGGCCAAATGCCAAGTTCCTGATTCTCTATTATCTCTATTTTACAGGCAGACGTGTGTTAAATATTAGACAGAAACTTCAGTCAGATGAGGTGTTTAAAAAGAAACTACATTTTTTATCATCAGCTAATATTCTGATTTACTGTCTGTAGCAAGCAGAGTTCTCTCCATATTTCACTCAATCATTGATTTTTTGTCAATTACATAGAAATATCAGAACTAATGGATAGAGACTGAAAGTGTGTTTATCAAATGAATATTACAATAGTATAGATGAGACTGTCATGTGGGTATCCACCCATTAGTTAGAAATCTCAATAGTCATGAGAACATTTTAACTTTTGACAGTAATTAAGAGATTAGCCAATCAGAATGGTTGAATCATGGTATCATAACTCACTATCTCTAACAACCTAATGTTTACTAATGATTCATTTTCCTCTACAGTACGTTACACCTGTATATTATTTAAGAATATTTGACGTAAGAGAACAACTGCAAACAATTTTCAACAGGTTCTCTTCAAAAATTCATAGAACTGTGGTTGCTCAGTGAGTTAGATGTTTGCTTGCTTAGCTAGAGGTCAAAATACCTGTCCCAGCTTAATCTTAAACCTGTCCCTCCCATGATCTACGTTTATATAACCCGAAATTATCAATACTTTCTCCAAGTCTAAAACATTCCATTGCTTGATAGGACAATAATGCATTTTATAATCATCCTATTCTTTAATAATAATATGATAATATCATATCACTGCAAACAGTAGCAAGATGGCAGTTTAATTGTTGTCAGAATAACCCAACATTTGGTATTCTCTGCACAGATATATTAATCATATCATCAGCATGTGTTGTTAATAACTTGTTATAGTTGATAAATCGTGTATTATACAATGATTATTATTAATGTTAAGATGTAATCAAACTATCAATCTGTATTAATACATAATATACATCATATATCATTATATAACTTCATATAATAATAATCTTTCTTTATGTACAGGTATATTTCTTATTGACTTTCAATATTTCTAACAGAAAGTTTTCATATGAAAATTGATGACATTGATTTTGAACTAACAGTTAAGTACATCTTGGAAAGAGAGTTTATAGGGAATCGTCCAAATTGATTATTACCAATCTCAATACACACTTGTACATTTCATAATGGTTTAGTGAGAGATCAACATTTTTGGTAAAAAAATCAAATCAATTTTATCATTATGTAGGGAGATATGTTTGAATGTTTCTGAAATAAATATCCTGTATATCTTTCACATGACCTTCCATTCTTAAAAGAATGATAAAAGTCATGATAGATATAATGATTGACATGACTAGATGTAAATACATTAGTTGACAATGGTACAGTATCTTACTGACTATATATCATCTATAGATCTATAATACAGATATACTTAATTCTAATTTATTGATTTCTTAGCTGTCTTCTTACTGTCTCCTTTTAATACATCAGGCCATTCTGTGGTATCAAGAATTGAAAATATCAGATGAAAATGAAGTGTTCTACACACATCATTATAAAACCTACCATAAATCTTTCAATTCATTGACAGTTTATCTCTCTCTCTCTCTCTCATGTTTAGTATCAAAATAGTATTCAATGCTTAACTCCAATATTTCATTTATATCTTATTCATGACACATATTTATTTTTCAAATTTTTGTCTAATTTGAAATTTTACAGAGAACTTTCTGCTATGGTATGTAATGAAATTGCTTTAAGTCTAGTACAAAGTGCTTCATCCTCAAAATCCTACATGATAAATAAACAATACATTATCAACTATGTTAGCTATTGTAATCTAACTGTATTTGTATTTGTGGACAGAACATTACAACAACAACAACTTACCCGATTTGAAACATCTTCAAGGAAGCACATACGATTTCCAAAACCTTCTGCAGCAAGACAAACTCGTTCTGTGGCACTGGCATCTTTAGTTGATGATACAGCACAACTCAAACATACCATATCATCCTGTAAAATAAACAAAATATGATCTGAAATTATCATGTCACTATTACAGCACTGATAATGGGATGCATCTTCTGAAATCCCCTTTCCTGTGTCCATTTTTATAACTCAACTTTCAGATGTGCACCTGCACTAGGAGGTTGATTGGGAAACATATATTGAGTTGATGTCAGGCAGGAGGATTTAAAATTTGTATTATATATATATATTAGGAAATTTTATTGGAATATCAATTGCATAAATATCTGAAAAAAGCAGGCATCTCATCAGCAAGTTAAAAGATGAATCCTGCAAGTGGGCTACCTAGAATTTATTGGGCAACATATTTTAACTCTGACTAGGTCATTATAAAATACTACAGTTAGCTACTGGTATTCATATTATAACAAGTTCAATTATAATACACCATAATCAATACAGACTTTACAATAGGTATAATTAAAACATTGAACTGTTTCCCTGGGGTTTCTATCTAATTCATTAAATATCAGCCAAGTTCAATCAGTCATCTTCCTATATATAGACACAATGTTCTAAAGAACAGAAAATATCTAACATAATCATACATATATTATGCTGCAGTGTAGGTCAGTTAAAGTGTTGGAAATTTTACGCTCATTTGCTTAGATAATCTGAACAAATGGTGGTCATGGATTCTAATCTTGTTCAGTGTGTGAAAATCGGTGACCTTGAATCTTTCCTCACTATTGATTTCGACCAGCTGTAAATTGTAAACAGTTTTGGATAATCTGGGTAAGATTAATGCCAAAAGAATTTAACCACCTAACAGAAAGACTGAATGCAGATATGATTTTGTCAGTCTTAGATCTATTTCAACAGTCTTTACAGGTACAGTGGTGTAACCTATTTTCGTGGATATAAGGATTCAACACCGAATTTCGTCAAGGTTAAAAAAACGAAAAAAAAAAATTTATGTCTTAGATGTTTCCTCTACAAAATAATTAAAATTGGTTTATTTCGATTTTCTTTATGAATCCTTCACTTTGACCCATATTTCATGAGCAACCAATTCGGCAACCGTGACAGAATGCGTCACCTATTTTTGTGTACAATGTTTGATCTATAAACAAGTCTAGAAAAACACGTTGTATGGATACTGGGTGGTATAATTAACTTCTCTTTGTATTTATCTTTATCAATTCATTATAACTAGTGACAATTCCTTCAAAGAACCATGATTTAAAAAAAAAAATAGAGACTGACAAAATAAGACACGTAGCGTGATTTATTGCTAAAAGTCACTGAAACAACATAAGAATATGGTCCACTTTGTGTTCCATAGAAATTTTCTGCTGACACGGAATCCGCTAGTTGATCACGTGACTTCATTCGTTGGACTACATTCTAACAGACGACACTTGGAATTCCGATTACCACTTTGGATTATAAGGAAATTCGGCCAATAAAAAATGGTGACGTTTGGTAATAAGTGAAATCCGCCATTTTCTATTTGTCAAAATATACATTAATACATTTTACCTTTCTGGAAACTACTGGATTCATTCTACTAGCTGATATTGTAGAGAAAATACATGTTTATTAAAACAAACTAATGCGGAGGTCACGGAAGGTCGCTCATGTAAATTATTAATCCTTTCCGGAAATCCACGAATAATAGGTTTCCACGAAATTAGGTTACTCGACTGTAATAACAATCACCTTTACAAATAATATCATTTGAGACATGCAAAGTAGCACAAAAGTAAGTAGGACTAGCAAAGTAAAAAAAAAAATTCACTCTGACAAGATTTAGAGAAAAAATTTCCCTGGATACTAAACTATAAGGGGAAGGAAGATTCAGTATGGTACACTATATGAAATAGAATCAACATTGGAAAACTCTGGCTATAAGATGTTTTCTTTGTCTCAATAACAATGTAATAAGCTTTATAACTAGTAGTTCTACACCTACACCCTATTCTTTCTCACTTGTAACTCTCTGACATTTTACAAATGATCAGCTTGAGTTTCAATTATTTATATTATCAAGTCAAGCAATGTACCAGAGCATTAACAGTGTCACTGTTAGCAGTAGAAAGACAATATCCTAGCTCACTGACACATATATAATCAACTTATATCACAATCAATATCTGACACCATTAACATCAGCTAAATATCAACAGCCTTCAGTTTCTACACTGAGAAAACCAAATCACATGTAGCCTGCTTGCATCAAGGTCATGATTGTTCAGAAAGGAATTTTTCACTCTCCAAATATCTTAATGAGAAATTGGGAAATTAAAGCTTATAACTATCTTATTGAGAAAATATCTGTACACTTTTCTCCACAGCATGTCTCTTACTTAACGAGCTATCAGGTAATATCTATAGCTATAAACTAAATGTTGTATAGGATTTATAACAGAAAAAAAGTGGTGTTCTTATCACCTCCAATCCTTTTCAAACATCCCGTTGAAAAAATGTGCATTCATCTCAAATGATGTTATATTCAAAAGAAGAGGAAATTGCAATCAGAGCATCCAGGATCTTTTAACCATTTATCACATTGTATGGTATAAATTTGTTATTATAAAATCGTTTTTCGAGAAGAGGAAGCACTGAAAGTGAGGATTTTATTCTAAAACAAGGCCATCTGCCAACGGACCTCATCTGGTACATTTGTTACAGCCAGCATGGGTTGATTTGAAATACAAGACTTTGTGAATAATAAGTACACACCAAATATAATAAATAACGGACAACAACTGTGGCCTCTTTTTAATGATTTTCAGTATATCAAGGGCTGTAAGTCTGTCAATATTTGTCGAATCATACCCCAATTCAAAACTTGTCTGAGATGTTGTGGATATAAACATACAAATCATATCAGATAAAAATCAGACAAAAATTGTCTAACATACAATACAATGTGGGCAAGTCTAAATATTTCATAGAACACAAAATTGCAGTCAAAAATATTTAGAACCAAAATAAGACAGAAAAATATTCAAATCAAAACCCCTCATTTAGTGTGATATTAATTGAATAATGAGTGGTTATGAAGAGAAACTCCATCTCTCAAATAGATATTTATCTGTAGTCAATTTGTTCCAGTCAGGCGATGTGGTGAATGAATAATGTTGATGTGTAAATTATTCAGATTTATAGTAAACCCTGTAGAGATTGTAGTTTGTTTAATCACTAATTGTCATGATATCATCCAGTTAATATTCTAACATCAGAATGATTCTTGGTACCTCCTGATTTCAATAGTAATCGAAACAACGGAATTGATGCCTGGAAATGCAGCATGGAATTTTGACTGTGTCCTGTGAACACTTACTGTTTAGCTTACATAAAAAATTCCTGTTTCTGAGATTAAGGTACAATTGGTCAAACACATGGGCCAACATACTGTCTACATGCTGTTTTGTCTACATGTTGGGTGCAGCTGAATATGTTAAGCTGTAACCATCAAAGTAGTATATTGGGGTATTGATTGATAGAATGTATCATGTAAATTACATCAAATCCTCCAGAGATACAGCAGAATATAGAAAAGACTCTGAAGACAATCAATTACTGAGACTGATAGAGCTAATCAATGGACAGTTGAAAGAAAAATGAAATTATGATATATCTATCAGATTGCGAACTTGGAACATTCTTACATGTGGAACATATGGTTTCGAGGTTCATTTGAGCATTAAACATATGTAAATAGACTTCAGAAATACTAGAAATGTACAAAAATCTCAAGAAAAGACCAGTCATCTTTTTAACTTTCGAATTTCAAAAATTCAATAATTCAAATGAATTTGAAGGCTCAAATTTCGACGGTTAGATGTGAACACTATTGCTGATTAGCTTAACTATAAAATATGGACAATTGGTCGAACCTCCTGTCCCTTTAAGTAAACAAGGTAAATCTGGGTACAAAAGAAAAAAGAAATATAACAAAAATTCTTTTCATTTTGAAGTTGGAACATACACCCCTTAAACATTTTTTTTCAGGAAAATTTGCAGGAAAATGTGAAGGTTTATTCTTTACAATCACATTTCTACTTTCCCAACCATAATAATAATATTTATATAGTTATAGATGGTATATAGATATATTGTATAATAATAATATTTATATAGTTATAGATGGTTTATAGATATATTGTATAATAATAATATTTATATAGTTATAGATGGTATATAGATATATTGTATAATAATAATATTTATATAGTTATAGATGGTATATAGATATATTGTATAATAATAATATTTATATAGTTATAGATGGTATATAGATATATTGTATAATAATAATATTTATATAGTTATAGATGGTATATAGATATATTGTATAATAATAATGTTTATATAGTTTAGATGGTATATAGATATATTGTATAATAATATAATTGATATAGTTATCGATGGGATAAAGATATCATTATACGTATTGTATATTATAGTATTCACTATTCACTATAATACATTCTTATTGTTGAAATATTACCAGTATCCAAATTCAATGTACATGTAGTTCAAAATTAGGCATTCCTTCAAAACAATAAACCATATTGAATATTTCAATGGAATTTCCCTTACGGAAATATGAACCTAAAAATCATATTGTTACTGAGAGTTTCATGCTATGCGATCTTCAGAAAATTTCCATTATAAATAATTATTATGCACAGCCACATTACAAAAATTAGAGCAGTCGAGTTTTTATTGTAGGAAGAATAAATAGTAATTGAAACAGTCAATACAGTATGTCACTGGCCTACTGATAAAAAAAACAATTTTGAGTGCTAAGCAATGTGGTTTACTTACACATCTAATAGCAGTTTCATCTATAAACTCCAGATCTACATGATCACTCTCAAACTTGGAAGCCTTCATTTTGAATTTTGAAGAACTACAAATCAATAACACACTTCCAAAGATATATATTTCCACAAAATTTTACCTCATCTTCACATTCTATTCCATGTTTAAACTTAAATTTTGAGGTCTAATTTGCTGGAAAGACTTTTTCTAAAATCACAGTCTAGTACTGCTCCAATCAGAATGTC